GTGGTGCCTGCTCTGCTCTCTGCTGATCCCTGCTCCCTGCCCAGTGCTGGTGGCCTGGAGAGGGCACTCGACGTGTGGGGGGAAGAATCGGGTCGCCATCATCAGGCTGATGGGATCCTTTTCCTCCACAGTCACACTCACAGTCGTGGTTTGGTTCTGTACAAAAATTCAACCATGCTGTACAGACTGCATGCATGCTGCTTTAGACTTGGCTTCATGACACGTTTTAGACCCTCCCTGGACTCTCTATGTGGACCTGCTTCCTTCATTTTCACTGCTGACTAGATGCACCGGCTGTCATGACTCGACCCCTCCCACACTGCTGAGCGTTTCAGTTCCTGCCCTTCTCACTGTTTGCAGCCCTGCTGCCTGCCCAGGCCTCCTGGTGCCCAGGTGAGAGGAAAGGCCTCTGAGGTGGACTCCTCGGGTGGGCAGAAGGGCTCCTCCTGACTGTCCCTCTCCCTGGGTCAGATGCCTGAAAACCTGGATTTCCCAGAAAGATAAGCTGGGCTGAGAGAAATTCCTTTCCCTGGGAGTGGTGGGGAGGGTCAGCCCTGAGCTCGCATCCTGCACTTGGGGTGCATGCACAGCCTGCCTGCCATCCCCACCTCTCCCCAGGGACCTGACTTTTAGAACATGAGCTGCTTCGTGTTAGCACGGTTTGTGGAAGCACGCAGACCCCAGAGTCCTGGGGTTTGAGTTCTAATGCAGGCTTTTCCTCAAAATTGCCTGAAAGTGTTGACAAACGTTTTCATCTTCACGACCCTCAGTTTCTTTATCTTTCAAACGTGTTGGGGCGAGAACAAGTCATAGAGGAGCAAACCCATCACTGTTTTAAGGACACGTTCCCTCCTAACCTCCCAGGTGGAGGCTTTGGTTGCCTGCTCCTGACCCCGGGTTTGCTGTGGGACCAAGAACGGGAAACTGATGTGTTGGAAAGAATAGTCAGCTCTTCCGAGGGAGGTCAGAGCCAGCAGTGTGGTGACCTCTTCCTGGTTCAGCAGGTCGGCAGCCCCACCTCCTCCTCTGGGGCTGCTGGGCCAGTTCCTCTGCTGACCCTTGGTGAGGGCATGAGTCCCCTCCCTTGCTGAGGAAAGTCTGGGGAACACCTGGCCTGTGGCCTGGTCACCCACACCTTCTGCTGGCTGCTGGGTCTGTGCCCCAGACACTGGCTGGGCCTTCTTGACAGGGTGTCAGGCACCAACCAGTGCCAAGGACCACGGTCCTGGAGTCACGCTGCCCTGCCTTGAACCCTGACTCCACTGTGTCAGCTGAGGGAGCTGGGGCGGGTCACCAGACTGAGTTTCCTTATTTTTTAAGTAAGTGGGAGAAGGTTAAATGTGGACTTTTCACATGAGCATATAATAAAAACCCAGTAAGCATTTATTATTATAATTTTATTATTAATGTTTGATGAAAATGGGCAAATAATGAGTGGACCAGAAGTTAAGAGGCTCACATTTCCGCCCCTGGTTCCATCTGACATCTTTCTACAGCTCATTCAGGTGGAATGACTTCTCCCTGCACTTGCCTCCGATGCCGTCATAGCATCTTTGCTAATGGCTTTGCCTCAGTCTGGGATGCCCTTCCCACTGCCTGTCAAAGTTCCATGTTTCAAGGCCCTAGTCACATGCCACCTCCTCCACATGGATTTCTTTGCTTTTCCCTTTGGGAAGTGCTAACGTTCTCCTCACATTGCCAATATTATCTCTGCATACTGATGCTTCCCAAGTTTATGTTTCCAGTAGAGGATGAATAGGTGACATGTTTCCTTATCTCTCATGGGGTCTGCATTTTTCTCCTAGGGATGCCCTTACAGAGTACCCAAAAGTGGGTGGCTTAAGACAACAGAAATGTATTGTGTCCTAATTCTGAAGGCTCGAAGTCCAACATGAAGGTGCGTCTGCATGGCCACACTCCCCATGACACCCAGGCAGGAGCCTTCCCTGCCTCTCCCCAGCTTCGGAGGGTTTGCAGGCAGCATCTTGGGCTTGCAGCCACGCCACTCTGATCTCTCCCCCTTCGCTGTCAGACGAGCTTCTCCCATGTGTCTGTGTCTCTTCATAAGGTGTTTTGTTTTTTTTTTTAAAAAGGACATAAGTCATATTGGTTTAGGGGCCTGCCTTACTCCAGTATGAACTTATTTTAAACTAACTTATTAACTTAGTTTAATATCATAAAACTCTATTTTCAAATAGAGTCCCATTCAGAGGCACTGGGTATTAAGTCGTCAATATATTATTTTGCGGGGGCACAATTCCACCCATCACATGGTCCTTAGTTTTTCTCTTGAATTATAATACCCAAGAACATGTCTTATTTTCCCAAGAAGATTGTAAACTTTTCCAAGAAAAACAACCCGATTTTACACCTGCGGGGGCAAACTCGCTGCTCTTGGGCTGAATCTGGCCGGCAGGCACGCTTGTCTGCCCTGGAGTGTCGGCCCACCGCCGCTGTGCTTGGGAAGGTACTCAGAATTAGTTCAAAAATGTGAATGTCGGGTTTCCATGCCAAATCCGACTATCTAGTCACGTGCCAGGGCACAGGGGACATTCCGGCGTGCTCCTCACTGCCTGAGGCCTAGCAGGGGCTTCTCTTGAGAGTGGGCAGTGCCCCCCTCGCCCCACAGACGTACGAGTCTATTCTATTGGTTCTGCTTCTCTGGAGAACCTTCACCAAGATACTCTTCACTGGAAAATACGTCCAATACCTCAGCCGCCGTCACCACACCCACTGACGTCACTCTCGTCCAAGCGACCATCTGCTCTCTCCTGAACGTTACCACTGCTGCAAACCTGGAATCCCAGCTGCAGTCTGAGGTCCAAGGAGCAGCCAGGGTGACCTTTTAAAGCCCCAGGTCAATCACGTGACTCCTGCGTTTACTGCTCTCCATTGGCTGCCATCTCCCTCAGAGCAAAAGCTGCAGTCCTACATCACCTGGCCTCCTGCCGCTTTCTCTGACCTCATCTCTGTATGATGTCCTGCCTCCTAGATTCCAATCACACGTGCTTTTCCTCTAACATGCCATGCATGTTCCAGCCTCAGGCCGCGCACATGTGGCCTTCTAGATGATCTTCATACCTGCACCGCCTGATCGAGTGCCTCTGTCTGTCCCAGGGCCTTTGGACATGCTGCTGTCTCTGTCTGAAAAGCTCTTTGTTCTGCTTGATTCATCTGAGCTACCCAGAGCAGAATAGCACTAGTTTCTTGTATCTGACGAGAAGCAATGGACCATTCATTTCAGATTTGACAAAATATGTGTCTCAGTCCCTTGCTCCAGGGTGTCATCTATGACAGATGACCTTCCAGTGGTTGGTCTCTTTCATTTACAATTTCTGATCTCCGTTACTGCGCCTGTATAACAATGGTGTGCGGGCAAGTAACGCGGAAAATGGCGAGCCTGAGATTTGCCGTCCTCTGCAAGTTAAAGACCGTGGTTTCTCTTCTCTGTCTGATTCTCACCTACCTCCCTGAATTTCAGGTGGCTGCTTTCTGAAGAAACCCTCGCCCTTTTATCTTGGGCCCAAGAAAACATCCCAATTCATACTTGAAATGCTGTGCTTTGGTGAGGAGAAAGGCATGGGACACGTCATGGGAAGCGGACACTTCAAACATCCTGCCTGGTGGCAGTGTGACCGGAGACCCTGTGCCGCCTGCACTCCCTGCCCTGCCCCCCAGCCCAGTCCTCCCTCGGCGTGCTCGTGGGAAGAACCTGTAAGCAGAAAAGTGCAGCCTCTGGCGGGTCCCGAATCTGACTCTCCTACATGGTAGGGTCTGAGACAAGCAGCACGCCCCTGCTCATCGGCTTCCTCCCTTACGAGTAGGGACGACGATGCCGACCCCACGGGGCTTAAGTGAAGTAGGGCGCACTGAGCGCCTGCCTCGTAGGAGCTGGGAGTCAGGCTGAGTCAGTCTGCACCTGGAGCCAGGCTTCAGACACGTGGTGGAGATGCCGTCCCCTGGGTTTGAGCTGGTGTGTGAGGTGGACACACTCCAGACCACTCCGGTGAGATTGACCCCCGGGTCATCCTTCACATTGTCACCCCAGTCCTCCTTCCAGAATTCGACTTGACCTGGCCTCCTCCCTCCTTCAAATGCTTGTGAGAGGGACCCCAGGTCCATCCTCCCGGCAGTCGGGACCCTGATTTCTCTCAGCCTACGTCTCCTCGCTCTTTGGACCACTCACCACTGACCTTTGCTCTTGGCATTAGACAAACACTAAGGGATGAGTGACCCTTGCGTGTGGTTGTTAGATCACCCGTGCCCCTGTCTGACCCGGCTGGCGCTCAGCCCTATCTTTTCTGTTTCCTTCGGGCGATGTCAGGGGAGGTTTGCTGAGATTCAGCCACACGGAGTCAGTTGCGTTCCCCTGCTTTGCTGACTTTCCAAAATGGAAAAGAGGTTGGTCTGTGTGACCAGTATTTTGTGCATACTTGTAGCCTTCCCATACCTGGTCCTCCACCTTCTCACCTGTGAGATGCTGGGCCACATCAGGCGACTTCCCAGATCCCCTCTGCCCAGGGCCTTGGGAGCCAGGGCTGGGGCGTGGCACCTTCCCCAGCAGGCGGTTGGCTCATTGATGCTGCTGGTGTTGAGCTGAGATGCCTCGCCCAGAGCTCCTGCTTCAGCCTCACGAGGGTAGCTGAGGACGGTGCTTGCAGAGAGCCTGGGTGGGGAATCCCTTTCCTGAGGCAGACAATTCAGGGCAGGCCAAGTCAGTCCAGGAGGGAGCAAGACCAGCAGCCTGGTTCCTGGGGTGCTCTCTGCCCTCCTCCTCCACCCTGGCCGCCCCCGCAGGAACCGAACAGTGTATCTCAATCTTAGAATGCCTGGAATGTGCCGCAGCCTGCTAGGCATGAAGCAGTCTGCAGAGAGTCAGGGAGGAGCTCTGCTCCCAGGCAGAGGCCTGGCAGTGCGAGGGCGAGGGCGATGGGGCCTGAGGGACGGGCAGCCCCTCCCATCCTCCCTGGGCCTCCTGCTGCAGCCAGGATATCAAAGGCTGCATTGTGCACTGAGCCGGGGCCTTGGTCCCTCGTGTGCCGGGGTGGAGGCGGGAGGAGGAACACCGTGGGGAGGCTGTCCCCTCCCCGTGCTCTTCTGGCTGGTGTTCCCAGGGTCCTCGGCCCCAGGAGGATGGTGAACACATGGGTGGCTGCTTCTGCATCCCCAGGGAGCCGACTCTGTCCTGGGGCCCAGGTGAGTTTCCTGGGGGGGCCCGGCCTGTGTCTTGGCTGAGGTGGTTGGTCCAGTGAAGGCTCAGGGGTCTGCTGGGTTGGGGAAGCTGCTCTTCCAAAGAACGGGGGGACGGTTGTGCCTTCTGGCTCCCTGCTCCCTCCCGCTGTCAGTGTTTGCCATTCTGGCTTTGTGAGAAGGCTGCAGAGCCTGGGAAGCCTCTACCTTTCCTGAAGAGAGAGGCTGTGAGCTGGCTCTGCGAGGAGTCAGTGCTGTTTTTGGCCGCCACTCGCAGGGTGTGACTAAGCCCTTCCTTCCTTTCTTCCCAAGATTCTCTAGGTCAGGAAAAGAGCTCAGGCTGTGAGTTCCTCTGGGGCCCATGGGTGGTCAGAAACTTGGCTTCTGTCCCTCAAACCCTGTGTTCGTCAGGGTTGCTGTTACTGAACAAAAACAGGCAGTTTCCTGTTACAGTGTGATGTGTTGTTTCGGTACGTCAAGTTGAGGCCACAGAGGGTTGTTGCTCTAAGAAACTGTCAAACCGCTGAGACTTGACATTGGGTGACCAACCATCCTGGTTTGCCTGGGATTGGGGGGGGGGGCGGTCTCCCCAGCTGCAGCCAAGGCTAAAATTGGGACGGTCCCAGGAAACGAGGATGGTGGGTCACCCTAATGCAAGCTCCTTGCTTCTCTTCAGACCAGGACCAGGATGAGGCCCTGTGGTCTCGCAAACGGCATTTATGAGGGCAAGTGGTGGCTTTGGGGGTGGGGGTGATTGAATTGGGGGAAGACCATTGAGGAGCTGGAAGAGCGTCACACCAAGGAGCAGTTCCCAACCCTGGTTAGCACGCCGTGTCTGCCCGGAGCACTGCCGTGGTTCCTCGGGGGAGGAGCCCAGGAGAGCCCCTCGGCCAGGCTTTCCCGTCTCTGACAGAGGATTTCCCCTGGGAATCTTGCTAGTTGGGCTCAGCAGTGTCAAGGTGAACAGGAAGAAGCCATGTTCTGCTTCCTTTGCTTGAAGTTCTAGCCTAGGCCCTTGGCACCTCTAGCAGGGTGAGGGTCCTAGACTAAGGCCACCCCAGACTGAGGAAGTATAAGCAAACCTGCAAATGAGGCCGCCAAGGCAGGCATCATCACCGTTGATCACCTGGCCTTCGAGGCCAGAATGCCTGGGTGTGATCTTGGTTCTTTGACTTGCGTTGCACAACCTGCAAGTCAAGCCTAACAAACCTCTCCGTGGCTCAGCGTTCTCACCTGTAGATTTTATGATATCATTGTGTCTTCCTCCCAGGGCTGTGGTAGGGATTAAGACTCCATGTGAAACACTCAAAACAACCTGGTACACAGTTAATTAAGCACAATAAACGTTAGCCGCATTAATTACATTCCTATGGCGGGCACATCACGCTCTCTCCCCAGGCTTCCGTTTGCTCATCTGTAAGATGAGGGGGGCATAAACTTGGCCTGTGCAGGTTTCTCGGGACCCCTCCTCCTGCACCCTGACCTTCAGCTTTAGATCTTGCTCTTAAACCCGGATTTCATGGGAGAGCATTCTGCAGCTCAGACAAACAAACCAATATTGAAAAACCACCCTCAAAGTTCTTCAATACTATCATTCAGTTATTTTACTGGTTTACCTGACTTTGTTATTGATAATTGGTGGGCATCCTAGATTCACTTTTTCACCAAGAGCCAGCTTGCTATTTATTTCCAATGAGGCTTTTTAATGACATCATTTCACATTGTCCCCCATCCTTGTCAGGGCTCTTTCCTAGGGTGGTTGAGAGAAGTGTTGTAGGTCTTAGGCCAGTTGATACAAACAGCACCTTCTAGGTGCACTTATTTGTCCTAGAAAAATGGAGCAAAATGGGAGACATATCCTGGAGCAACTTCATGATCACGTGATGCTGGGCAAGTCTCTGATATTCTCCGAACCTGCTGAATGAGCATACGTGCAACAGGAGGCTGTGGCTAGAAGTAAAACGTAAAGCTTTATTGAAGGGTCTGAGGGTTTGCAAACTGAAAACACAATGAGGCGATACCCAGAGTGGTTGGAAGGGGAACGAAAAGCCAAGGGTTCTCACAGTCAAGGGCGTGTTCCGGAGAAGAGTCAGGCCTGCATTCGCTGTCAGCCTCTGGGCTGGTCTGCGATGGCAATCCTCTAGGTGGCCGGTGGCCTGGGCAATGGATGTCAGGTGGTCTGGCTGCATGAACATTCTCTCTCCTTAGTTCTTCAGGGCTGCCCAGGGGGGTATCTGGAGGCTGATGAACACCAGGTATTGACACAAGACTTATGTAAAGGTCAAAGGGGTAGGTTCCCAGGCTCACAAAAACAAGAACAGGATTGCTTCCTCATACCTCAACCTACTCGATTTTAGTAGTTCAGCATCTTGACTCTAGGGACTTCATTGTATTTCTTCACTGTATTCTTCAGACCTCAGCCTTCCTGCCTGTAAACTGCATCTAATGGTAGTATCTATTACTTGGTGCATTTGTGCGGGTTACATGGGATCATTCGTCTCACGGGTGGAGCACAGGGTCTGGCGTCAGATAGCCCCTCAGTGACTGCGGTCTGTGTTATCGTTAGCTGGTAGGAGTGCCCCAGCATTCCTTCTTCTGCTTGCTGGAGGCTCCCGAGCAGGCTCAGTGCTCGTGTTTCTTTGGCTGCCTCTGCCATTGTGTCTGCTTAAGTGGGAGTGAACATTGAGGACCAACAGTCCCCAGGGGAAAGGGAGGCAGCAAAGGGGAAGGTTCTTGATGGAACCGAGCCCTGGCTGGCCGGCCGACTGGTTTGCTGCTGTGCGACAGGATGACTAATGCTGGTTCTGATGGCCACAGGCACGCCACCTTCTCGTGTGTGGCTGCTGCCTGCAACATATGTTTCCTGTGATGTCTCTCATCTGCTCACGTAAACCTCCTGATTACGCATGGTGAGAGGGTGAGTTTCTGGTCAATTGCCATCAATTCTGACTTCCGGGCCCCTTCAGTGTCCTTGCCATTGTCCAATAAACCACAGTGGGTCACCTAGGATTACAGAGCAAGCCATGTCCAAGTATGTGGGTCCAAAACCTCCTAGCACTTTCCCCTTATCTCAACACATTCTTGAAGGAATTTGGCAGATGTCTACCCTTAAACAGTGGATGTGAGAGAGATACATTTGCCTGTATTGATGGTTAGAGTTTGTAACTTCCCTTTCAACCTTTGTGGTCAGTAGTAATCATCAGCATGACAACAGGAGACTGAAGGTGAATGCCCGAGGAAGGGAGTAAGTGACGCTTCACGTCTGAACTTGAGAAAACTTGTGAGGCACTTTGAACATCCTGATGATAGAGAATATTAGAACAATAAGCCCACCATCTAGCTTTAGTAAGTTTCTACTTTATGCCATATTAGCTTCAGACCTTTTTAACCTTTCTCATACTTTTTGAAAAAATGAAACATTGCAGATACAATTAGGGTCCCTGGGTAGTTTTCCCAATCACATTCCCCTTTTCACTCCTCAAAGCTAATCACGTCCATGAATTCAGCAGTTTTGTGCTTTTTTACATTTTTACATATTCATTACAAAAAACGATTTTGAAGATTTAAATACTTAAACAAAATTCTATCATTATGCAACTCACTTCCCCCACTCAACATTGTTATCTAATAATGATATCTGATGTAGCTGTAGCTCTACTCTGACCTTTGTCCCTACAAGGACAAGGGGTTACATCATAAAACTGCTGGTTGTGTGCTTGTCAGGTCAGAGGAGGAAGAAAAATGTGTGAGTAGAGGAAAAAATCATGCAGGGAAATGTTTACTATTTACTTTTTTTCTTAAAGTTGAGGGCGAGGGAGGAGAGGCAGAGAGGAGAAATGGGTGTGGATTCTCATTCGCAGCAAGTTTCTGTGAGTTAGATGTTTCCCGGATGAGAGGCTTTGGAAGTCAGATTTTTGAGGTCAAGGTAATGTGGTGGAAACAGCAAGGTCTACACCCGAGCTCTGTGGCTGACTTTCTGTGTGACCTTGGACAAGTCACTACCGCTCTCTGGGGCTGAGGCTCTGAAGCGGTAAAATCAGGGGTGAAACTGAGTGATCTCTTCTAACATTCATCTTCTGTAATTACTACCCAGTTAAAATGGAGCAAAATGTTTGTACAGACACTCTCATTCAGAAAATATGGAATGGCAAATAAGCACATGAAAAAAAATGCTCAGCATCAGTAGTTATTAGGGAAATACACATTAAAACAATGAAATAAAACTGCACATACAGAATAGCTAAAATGAAAAAGATCGGTACTCACAAGTATTGGTGAGGATGTGGAGCGACTGGAACTCTCACACATAGCTAATGGGAGTGCAAGATGGTACAGCCACTTTGGAAAGTAGTTTGACAGCTTTTAAATAAATCTCAGGGTTTTCTGAATTAAGTAACCTTTTCTAACCAAAAATAATAACAAAGCAGCTAGCTTATAGAAAGTAATTTACTGATCCATAAGTGAAAAATCTAGACGTTACTTGCTTCAGGTGTGGCTTGATCAAGGAATCCATGATGTTATCAGGAAGTTATCTTTCTGGGGCTCTGTTTGTACTGGGTTGGCCTGAAGCTCAGGCAGGCGTGTCTCTGTAGCTGAGCCCCACAGCTCCAGGCTGTCGGACTCACAGCTTCAAGTCCAGCAGAAGAAATTCGCTCTTCTCTAAGAGTGCTGGTGAGGGTCCTACGACTACTTTTCATTGGTTTAATTTGGTTGTGAGGCTGTTGCACAGCATAACGAGATTCACTTTTACTTGAGTCATGTGACCACTTTTGCAGCCCTGGATGAATGGAGCCAGCCTCATCTGAACCACACAGACTGGTTCACAAGGGTCACATGGCTAATGAAGCTGGGGTTCGAGTCCTGGACCATCTGATTGCAGACTCTTTGTTCCTAGGCACTTCTTCACCTGCCTCTAGCGTTAGAAAGCAAAGGCATACCCAGTGCAGAATGCTTGGAAAGTAGACAAAGTACAGGAAAGTCATTTAAAATGACTCAGCAATCACCACTGTGGACCTTTTGTTTTATTTCCTTTCAGTCATTAAAAAAAATCATATATTTTTCCTAAAGTACTTTATTCTACATCATAGTTTTTTGTTGCCTTCAGTAGTGCCTGGTTCTTTCTCCAGGCCCAGCTCAAGTCTTGAAATTCTTTCATGTGGAACTGCAATTTCATGTGAAAAAGCTTGGTAAACTGTAAATCCTGTGCAACTATTAAGTGCCCTTCCTGTTATAAAGGTCAATGTCATGTTCCAGACCCCTTGCTGTTTCTCAAGGGGCTGGCCTCTGGCTCGTGCGTCCTAGGCATCTGCTGAACTGGCTCTGCCTGTGTGTTCTCAGGGCCCACAGGAACCCCCAAAGTGCTAATTAGACACGCACTTCTCCAGCCTCACCAAGATATTCTGACGTAGAGAAAGGTGGCGGGAATGCTTTTACACTCATCCTGTCGTTAAAGTTCCCCATTCATGCAGATCTGCGCGTGAAATTAGATGTAGGCAACGTGCTGTATTTTCCTGAGGGGAGCGTGTCCACCTGCACTGCTCCCTGGGGTGGTAACTCACTTGTTCTCATTGCTGCATTGTGTTTATTGTACGCAGACCTTTCGCTTATCCGTTCTAGTGGAGATGGACACTTACTTCATTGCCAGTGTTTGTCTGTTATCGACACTGCTGCTCTGAATATTTTAGTAGATGTATTTTGGTGAACATATGTATGTACTATTTTGGATATATACCTAGGAGTGGAATTGCCGAATCTCATGCATATGTATATATGGATATGTTCAGCTTGAACTGAGACTGTCAAACAGTTTTCCAAAGTGAAAATTTTTAAAACTTATTCTCACACTTGCCGTATATGAAATTCTAGTATCTGTGCATCCTTGCGAACACTTGGCTTTATCTGTCTTTTTCATTTAAGCCATGTAGTGGTGTTTCATTGTGATTGTAATTTTTACTTCCCCGATGAGCTTGAAAGAGTTTTTATACATTCATTGGCCATGTAGATATTGTCTTTGATAAAATGCCTATTCAAGCCTGTTGCCCAATATTCTAGAAGGTTGCCTACTTATTAAAGATCTGTTAGCATTCTTTGTATATTCTGGATTTGAGCTCTTTATGAATATACGTATTGTTTATATTTTCTTCTACTCCATTACTTACCTTTCACCATATTGTGTCTTTTGATTAACAAAGTTTCTAATTTTAATGGATTCTAATTTATCCATTATTTATTTTGTGAGCAGTGCTCTTTCCACCCTATTTAGAAAATCACTGGCTACTCCAAGTCATGAAGATTTTCTATATTTTTCTACAAGGCTTTTTTTGTACAGGTATCTTTTACAAAACGAGCATGTTGTGTGAAAACTGTGATTTTCCGCTCTGTGCCTCACGCATCTTTACGAGCTGTGCACTCCTCCCTCCACCCCCCAGATCAGGGCCACCCTCCTGGACGTCCTTCTTCGGGGTGGACTCAGCTCATGGGTCCTCATCGTCCTCAGGCTGTTGTCCCTGCTCATGCAGCCCTACAACGGGCACACACTCTCGGAGCTAGCCGAGGCTGAGTGTGAGTGAGCAGCCTGTCTGTGTGGGGACCATGGTGGCCGGAGAGCAAGTGCCCAGCGGAGGGGCTGCAACCACCCAGCCTCAGCTGCCTGCTGCTACGGAGAGCGAGGGCTTCGGGCTGCCGATCTGCAGTCTCAAAGTGAGGCCAAGCATCCAAATTGTGCAAAACATCCTGATTTTAAATGGTGTCAGCCATTCACACTTTAAAAGTTCACTGTGTGGGGAAAAGAAAAGAAAAAGAAAAAAAATGTCTGTGGGTTTTCTCTGGCCTGTGGCTTCTGTTTTTCCGGTTTCCCAACTTTGTCCTCGAGCAGAAAAGCAGGCTGCCACTCCAAGTGTGATCCCGGGACCGCATCAGAAACGCCGAACCTCAGGCTTTCAGCTGTGGGGGCAGAGTCTGCATTTGATCGGTATCCCCAGGTGATTCACAGCACATCAAAGTTGGAGAACCGCCAGGGTAGGCACGTGGCTCTTCACACTGACTCAAATTAGAAGCATTTGAGGAAATTTAAAAAAATACCTGTGGCTGGGCTGCACAACGAACCACATAGATCAGCAGTCAGAGATGAGGCTAGGCACCGGTATTTTTGAAAAGCACGCTGGGTGTTTCAAATAGGCGGCCAGTGTTGAGAGGCACTCCTTTAGATCAATTCCTCACTTAGGGGTGGGAAAAGTGAAATCTCAAAACATGGACACAAGAAATGTCTTGGCCAATGTCACTTAACTAGGTATGGGAGGATCCAATTGTACCAAACCTCGGACCTCGTGATTTCCAAGCCAGTCAGTGTCTTTCTGCTACAGTGACTTTTGGTTGCTGGGGGCAGGGCTGTGAAATGATCCCATTTAACCACAGATCATTATGGTCAGCTTTCCAGCTAAGCTGCTTAGCTGTCAGCACTGAACCCTACTGAGACTTACGGAATGAAGAGCTGTGAGCTGATGGGCCCCTCCTTCTGCCTATTCAAGCCACAATCCACTCCATTCTCCCTGTTCACCACACACAAAAAGAGTGCTAACTGTCTCACCGTGAAGAAGTGGAAGGTCCTCCACTTGGATCTCCAAGTCTCGCTTGTGTGGGCACAGACGGCGGTGTTGCCTCCGCGCCTCAAGGTGGGGATTTGGGTCCCGCACTCACCAGCGGTGACTAGATGGGGCACAGTCGCTCTGTCACTTATCACCATGTCAGGCTTGGGCTGCATCAACAACAGCAAGGGTCTTGGAAGTGAACCTGGTGGGCCTGCTTGACTTTGACCCACCGCCATTTTACAAGTGAAGAAACAGGGAGGAATAAGTGAGGGACTCAAACAGTGGTTGTCAGGGTGGCTGGCCCTCTTTCCAGGGCCAGGTAACATAATACTCAGACCCCGTGCCACATATAGTCCTTGAGCAGTGTCACGGTCAAAAGAACAGAGTGACCAAAAGTAATGCGTTAAGGACTTGAGTTCTGTCATTGTATTTTGGGGATACTGTGAATGAGACCCGCATTCCATAGCCATACTTGTGAAATCCCCTTTAAGTTTAAAAAATACCTACTGCCTCATGCCGTGCCTCAAGCTTTTAGCTGCACTCTCTTCTCTTCTCAACCCTCTGCCATCAAAACAGCCTCCTCCCTAACTCTAACTTGTGCCGCAATCTTCGTTTTTTCCGCCTTCTCACTCCAATTCTACAGCTGCAAAGACAGGGATGTTTTGGAGAGCTAGAGACGAGAGAGACGTCCCATTCAGGATGCTATTTAGTGGTCAGACAGAAGGACAGTCTGGGGACCATCATCTCTTTCAGGGCCATTACAGCCATGCCCCAGCCACCTCCCCGATGATGCCCTTCTCTCTCGTTCTGCTCCGGCACCTCCATTCCCCACCCACTGGCCTGGAGCCATGCTGCAGTCCCACCTGTGCTGACCTTGTTGGCTCAGCATGCATCAAGCACCTTCAACATCCTATGCCTTGGGACTCGGTCTGACCTGGGGGTGCAAATCCGTTTTTATTTTAATGAAACAGGGACACCCTGACTGTTGCATGATTGAGATGGCATGTATAACAGCTTTTTTGTATAACAGGTAAGTAGTAAATAATTATAGCACGATGGTGATAGAGTTCTTCCATGCTGCCGGCCCTGGAGAAAAATTGTCACTGGACAAAAACTTGTAGTCTTTGTTTATACTTGCTTATATTCTCACAAATGGCCTTTCATTTGCTCTCCTCCAGGTAAAGAAACCCTGTCCCAGGATTCAGCCTCATCAAGCAAGTTTAGATCTGCACCTGAAGACAAGGAAAAATGTTTCCCGCTACAGAGCATGACTCCAGGTATCCAAACGCCAAAGACAAACCCTATTTTTGAAAAAACAGTTTGCCTGGGGAATGCTGCAGTAAGCTCCCTGTCTCTCCCACCAGCAGGTTCCCTCCCTCTGATCCCTTTCAGGAGCACCGCCAAGTGCATCTTTGTAGGCATGACCCTGACAATGACATTCACTTGCTCACAAATCTTCCAGTGCTCTTCATTGTCTATGAGATTAAGTTAAACCTTTTCAGTTTTAATGCTCAGCCCTTCACAATCTGGCACATATCAGGAGCTCCACACATATTTGCTGTATTAACGAAAGCACATCATTGGTTAGAGTCTAAGGTGCTGAAGATCAGGAGTGATGTTTTTGAATAATTATGTACTCTACATGGTATCTAGAAGAATTACTTGCGCGTAGCTGGTGCTCCAAAAAGTCTGGTAAATAAATACAGGTCTAGTTGAATAAATAGGTAGAGGTCACATTTGTACTCTATACAGTACCTAACAGTATACAAAGTAGGCTCTCAATAAATATTTGTTAAAGTAATAAACGAGTGAATAAAGTGTTGAACATGTGGCGGGGGGCTTGGCTGAGCAGAAGGGCATCTGTGTGAATCTTTCAGAAGCAGGAAAAGATTTTGAAACCCTGAGAAAATTCTTACTCTCAATACAAGCCTCTCACAAGGTTCCCCTTAAGAGCCCTCAGTGAAGCTGGCACAGGGCGGGTTGCCCTCAGAGAGAGCTGCACCGGGGTGAGCCTCGTACCAGAAACGCTGAGGATGAGCCTGCAGAAGACTCAGTACAGCACCTGCGACCACTGTTGAGTGCCAAGCAAGTGCTGAGTGACCCTCCTATGTTCTTCCCATCTGCACGTGCTCACCTGTGGGACATGGCACCAAACTCCCCGTTTTGAAGGTGGCAGAGAGGGCCTCAGAGAGGGGGGTGACTTCCCCACAGCCACAGTTAGTCTGTGACGAGAAAGGGATTCAAACCCCAGTCCTTCTTCATAACCATGATGCCCCCCCTCCGCCCCTCCAAACACGTACCTCTCTCCAGCAGATGAGATAGAGATTTGAGGAAAAGGTTTACATTATGCATGTTTCAAAGGATGTAAATCACATAAATTAACATTGTGTAAGTGTCCTACTAGGTTCTTTCTTTTCCTAATTTCAAATTCTGCCAAACCGCTTGGCTGACAATAAGCAAAACCTTGCCCTTCATTTCTTTTTATTGTGTCAATCTGCTTATCTGCCTGTCAGCTTGGGCCACCCCGCCAAAAGCTGAATCACCATCTGTTCTTTCGAGAACACGGTGGAGTCAGCATTTCGCCTTATCTGTGCGCGAAGACCCGTGAGCAGGGGGCCACGGGGTGTGTGTAGGGGAAACCTAATCCGCTGAAGCTGAGCTTGTTCACCGTTCAGTGTGTTCTGCCACACGGCTGCTTCAAGGAAGGTCACGGGGAGAGAAGGGGAGACTCGGCTCCCGCTGCCAGGCTGTCCTTCATAAGAAAGATTTGAAGACAGAAGCAGTCAGATATACTATCGTGATTAAAAACTGGTTTTCAGAAGGACTGCAAAAAAAAACAAACAACAAAATGCCGACCTTGAGTCGTTCCCCCGCATGCTGGTGCAGAGGGTGCTGCAGGCCCCGCAGTGGGCCCAGAGGCTCCGATGGGAGTGTCGGCTCTCACTGGCTGAGGCCTCAGAAGCAGTTTGCTCATTTAAGTCCATGTCTTTTGTTTTCCACATCCAGAGACTCATGTGCATGCGAGGCAAGGAGATTTACACTGAAGGGGCTGTCATTCATCAGGGGCTACCAGAGAGAGATTCTAGGGAGTGTTTGGATCAGGTTGTACAAGGACAAAAGAGACAAGTTTGGTGAAATCACAAAGTCAAGGTTAACCACAGGTGTGGCAAGATGCGGGCAGGGAGAGCAGCAAGGGCTGGAGTACCGGGGTGAGGGTGGGGGATTTGCGAGGGGCGACAGCTCATGCTTTATGTTGTTTAATGAACACTTAACATGCACTAGGCACCAAACAAAACCTTTACATGCATAATCTCATTTAGTAAGCCTCTGAAAACCCCTGTGGGGTAGGAACTCTCAAAGCCACTTGCTCATGAGAAAAGTCAAGCATAGAGAGGTAATTAACTGCTCAGGGGGTGAAGCTGGCAAGAACAGAGCCAAGCCTTGAGCCTGGGTCCGTGTGACGCCTCCCCCGGACTTCCCCTCCTCCTCGGGACCGGTGTGCAGAGACCCTACCCGACGGAGGGTTGCAGCTGGCCGGCTGAAGATGGAGGGCTTGGGTGAGGCTAGAACACAGGTCAGAGAGGAATGGAAGGGAACAAACATCCAGCCGAAGTTCACACCAATGTCAGGTCAGTTGGGCATGCCATACTGCAGCTGGTCTGCGGCCACAGCATTTTCAGGCCTTCTGGGGTAAAGACAGGCCTTTCAAAGGCAGGGGTCCAGGGCTGCCCCGTGGGCCCAGGCCAGTGTGATAGGGGCCGTCACTCAGGAGTTCGCAAAGCCCCTGGCAAGCTGAGGCTAGAAGAGACACTTCTGTGATTATCCAGGCCAATGTCTCCTTGCTTTATTGTGTTTGGTAATTCTGCTTAACGTCCGAAGAAGACCCAGGGGCAAAGCGCAATTGTTAGATGAACTTTCTAAGTGTAACCTTTCCAGACAGTGCAGTCCGAAGGCCTACCCCACCCTCCAGCGGCTCCATCACTCTGTGTCTTTACTCGGTCGCATTTTCCGCAGCACCTTCCTGCATCTGAAATGACTATGTTCAGAACTGGTTGTTGGCCAACAATACAAGCTACATGAGAATAGGGACCATGTCTGTTTTGTTCTCTGCTGCATCGTAGCACTTAAAACAGCTTCTGTTCACTGTACTGGGTGGGTGAATGTGCATTTTGAAGAAATTAGAGATAGATGTTAATCCATTAACCAATTACCCTGACAAATAGTAATAAATGCATTATCAGAAAGAAACAAGTTAGAGACAAACTGTATGTGTGCATGTATAATGCATAAGGTATAGAATACCAGTTACATACTATAATTTGATATATAAATACATTTTCATGAATATGTAAACAGTTTGAAACTTTCACAAATTATCCACGGGAGGGAATACATATCCCAGCTGGCTCCACCGCTAATGCTCCATGTGTTTAGTGAACATTCAGTGACCGTGTCTGCACCATCATCTAGTGCCAGGCAGCGTGGGAGTCAGCCTTGCTCACAGCAGACAGAGCCAGCCCAAGTGCACTGAGTCCTGGGCTCCCAGAGCATATTCGGACTTGAGCAATTTTTTTTCTGGGGAGATGGTTTAGAGGATTGTTAAATCCCAGGTAATTTCTGAGAAATGAGCACACCTGCTCAGGGTTTAGGTGTGAGAAACACTGGTGCTTCTGTCTTTCTTCCCCTGCCCTGCCATCACCTCATCCCTCCCCTGTCCCCTTGCAGACCTGACGCTCTCCTTCAGTGTGAAGAGCCGCTCCAGGAGGTGTGTAAATGGCCCCTTGCAGGAAGCGGCCAGGAGGCGGCTCTGGGCGCTGGAGAATGAGGACCAGGAGGTGCGCGTGCTGTTTAAGGTGAGCTCCGGTCGAGGGGTGTGAACTCCCACCCTGGGTTTCTGTCTGCTGTAGGCTCCTGGTGCCTAAGACAGTGCAGGGAACAAAGGAGGCCCCCAGAAAATGTCTGACTGAGCAAATGAATGAAGGACATGTACACATTCTCTGCTCAGCTGGAGGGCAGGAACTCAGAAGTGCGGGGGTGGGGGGGGGCCCTGGAGTCTCAGGATCAGAGAGACTTTGTCTCAAATCTGCCACTCTTAGTGGCATGTCCTTCCGAAAGTTAACCTCTGTAGGATGGGAGTTATTATAATTTAAATTTGGTGAATTTGAATGTATTGTTTTTTTATTGTGATAAATGTGTATAAAACAGAAGTTTTCCAGTTTAACCATTCAGTGGCATCAGGTGCATTCGCAGTGTTGTGCAACCATCACCCCTCTCCTTTTCCAGAACTTTCTCACCATCTTGCACCAAAACTCTGTACCCACTAGACCATAGCGCCCATCCGTCCCCTTCCCTCGGCCACTGGTAACCTCTGGCATACATTTTTCTTACATACCAAGCTTGCTAATCAAAAATTAATTACTGTAAATATTAGAATGAGAGAATGAAAAGGCAATTAGGTAAATAAACCAGTTTCTGGTCTTCCATAGTGGGAAGATGTTATCTTCAGTTGTTAAACCAAGGAAGAAGGGTAGGATCGAACTGTTCACCATTTAGGAGGTATTTCCCAGGAGAACGGAAGTCTAAGTCGGTTGAAAGTTGTTGCAATAGAGGTGGAGGAAGGAGACTAGCACTTTATATAACAAACTATTGTGTTCTGGTTATTTTTACCGTCTCCACATTCATTTGACAAAAATTAAAAAGAGAAACGAGCTCTGTTAATCTGTCATGTAACCCAAAACGGTCACCTGTGTTTTGTTGGAAGGCGTATGTGGGGTGGTGTCAGCAGAGAGCTTGGCACGTGCTGGGGTGGTGGTGTACGCCCCCCACACACTGGATCACTTATAAAGAGTGGAGTGGTTTTGGTTTTGTTTTGGAATTTCCCGAATTCAGGCACTTGGAGGCGTTAGTTGCTAACTGGCATCATAGTTTCTTTCTCGTTTCTTTTCTTTTTCAAATTGGGATGCTTCACAGATTTGCGCGTCATCCCCGTGCAGGGGCCGTGCTAACCTTCTCTGTGCCGTCCCAGTGTCCGTGTCAGCGCTGCCGAAGGGAGCACAGAGTTCTCTTTCATTCGGGTCCCGCCTGTCCTGGGCAAGGGCTGGGTCCAGCTGAGGAGCCGGTCTGCTGGGCCACGCCCCGGAGTCCGCTGGATCCAGCCGGGCGCCACGGCGTCCTCTCAGGCGACCTTGGGCAGGTTGTTTAACCTGTCTCTGCTTGGGCCTCCTCGACTGTGAAATAGAGACAATTCCATTTTCTGTGAACTCTGAAATGCCATCTGATTATGCAATGCACCGTTATTTCGTTTACCTCTGAGAAAGAAAATAAAGGCTGCCAATTAAGTATGATGTGTTGCTTCCTTATCTTTTGTTTCAGAAATTGTTAAGATGGTGAAAGTGCATTTTAGAATGGATTAAGTACTGTGAGTGTGCCCTTTCCACAGGGTGATTGTGAGAGTTAAATGAGGCGTTGCTCATAAAGCTCTTGGTGAAGGGCTCAACAATTAGTAAATTCGCTGTAAATCAATCCTGCCTAGAATGGCTTCCCTGACTACTGGGACCTTCATCCTTCAGGAGCTGGGGCCTGCTGGAGCCTGGGGTAGTGAACACCGGAACTCTGACTTGGCTGACCTAGGGGCTGGCTCCTCCTTCGGATCCTTGCGTCTTCTTCCTTCCCCAGGGTTCTCCCAGGTCACTGTCGCAGGGGTTGATCTTTGATGGTGGGACTTGGCCTGGGGGGACAGGGACTTTCTGATTGTCCCTCATGACAGTCAGCTCCAGAGGCTTGGGCAAGCAGGATTGAAGGATTCTAGGGGAAAACCAGGTTTGGGCAGTGACTCAGGTCTGTTTTGTCAGGCTTTGAAAAGGGGGGCGGGGCCTGCAGGCCTCCTCTGGCTCTGCCTGTGAGTTTGTAAATGGCACCATCTTCAGAGGGCCCTGGGGCTCCTGCATTACAGGACTGAGGCGTGCTTATCCTTCCATTCCCAATGACACTTCCCAAAATTACAGTCCAGGATGTGTGCAAAGGTTTGGGTGTAGGATGCTTATCACAGTGCTGTTTAGGATGTTGAGGAAACTGAAAACAACTCAAATGTCTAGCCCTAAGGAAATGTTAAGAATTAATTGTGTTAATGCAACAATGGCACATGTAACCATTCGAAATAATGTGGGTTAGTCAATGACGTGGAAAATGGTTCACAAAATATTGTTTAGCAACAAAAGGTCACAAAACAATTTAAGTGATTTGATGCTACTTACATTAATGTAGTTATATAGATACTCATGTGTAGGAAAAAGGACTCAGTTAATCATTTTTATTTTTGTGCTTTTTCTGTTTGCCAGCTTTATAAAAATAATCAGTATACATAGATTCACAATCGAAGTGCCTTCCATGATTTCTCTTCCACTCTCCCCCACACAACTTTGTTTTACACAACAGGTAGCATTCACTGCACATCTATACTTGTTTTTTTCTTTTGGTCACTACCATTGTTCCTTTTAACAGAGTATATTTAGAGGCTATACCAGTACACAAAGAGTTTCTTCATTCTTTTTTTTTATGGCTGCATGATATCATAATATTCCATTGTCTGGATGAGCCATAATTCACTTTAACCAGTCTCCTATGATGGGCATTTAGGTTGTTTCCTTTTTGTGTGTCTTTGATGTGAAACTCAATGCCACAACCAAGAAATTCATAGTGAGTGTTTGGTACCTCTGTGAGCTGGTTCACAGGACACCGCCATGCCACACTGACTCACTGTTCTCTTCGCTCAGGACCTCTCAGCCAGGCTGGTAGGCATCCAGTCCCAGAAGTCCCAGTTCCTCATCACCTTCAAGACCATGGAGGAAATCTGGAAGTTCTCCACCTATCTGAACTTAGGTACGACATGGAGCAGGCAGGTGAAGAGCACCTCTCTGACATTAAGGGAGGGTCTGACGTTAAGGGATTGGTCTGGCTCAGATAATTAAGAGGTAGAGCCCTGACATGGGTAGTTAACCACAGCATGCCTGAAACTAAATCTAAAGCAGGTATTAACTATGGCTCTAAAATGCCACGCGCAACACTTTTTGTATTGAGGGAGAGACTTCTTTATTAGAGAACCAATCAGTTGGCAAAGAGTTATTGGTCAAGACTAAAATTCAAAGTACCAAGATAGCTGTGACCTTGATGGTTTGGAAAAAAGAACCAGCCTTGAGTAAGATCAAAGTAGCTGCTTAAAATAGTAAAGTTCCGTATTTCCATTTTCCTGAGAGAGAGCCAAAGCACGAGATGGAGGATTTATCTGCTAATGGGGCCTTGGTCGCAGGGTTTTCTACAAGGTAAAGAGGATTTGGGCGCACAGCATTGCTCTGGTGCAGTGGGAGATGGTTCCCCTACCTTCACCGTGGAGGGTAACTCGTGCCGGGGAAGTTACAAAGCGAAAGGAGGCCACTTGATGCGGTCCCTGGGGTCATGGGGTCCACGTCATTATGGATGAAAATGAGACATTCACACAGACTACCGAATCCGGTGGAGGAAAAGGGACAGCATGGATTTTTCTCTCAAGGGGAGCAAATGCCTTGGCCCTTGCTCCAATAAGCTTTTATTGTCTTACTGGGCACATTACAAGAAGGTCCTCATTTACTATGCACAGGCTCGCTTTAGGTGGTTACCTTTTACAGAAAACAAAGGAGAGGATGCTGGTAATCACATCACAGAAGAGGGATATTTGCAAATGAAAAGTTAAAAGTAGTTGAACCGGTTACACTCATCCTTGGAAGGTTTAGCATATTTTTTTAGGAAGTTGCTTTGTAGTAAATGTCCTCAATTCAGGGTGAGGGAGTTTTAGCAAAAAGCAAGACTCATAGTGGCCTAGGTACATTGCAGGCCTGATTCCCCACAGGAGAACCTATCTGTGGGCGTGGGTCCTGTGCATCTCTGAGTGGAAGCTGGGCCCACGCCACGCAGAGCGGCCTCCCACAGCCACTTGAGTTCACACATATTGTACGCATCCCAGAAGATGCCGGTCTCTGTGTGGACTGACACAGGAAGCAGCCTTGTGCAGGGACTCATGTTCTCCTATAGTTGAAGTGATTTCCTTCTCTCTACACCACCCATGTCCTCCTGCGACCATGAGAGACCCTCACTCTTCCGAGTGTGCTCCGTGGACCAGCAGTGCCAGCATCATGTGGCAAGCATTAGAAAGGTAGACTCCCAGGCCCCACCCCAGACCTACTGACCCAGCATCTGTATTTCACTAAGGTCCCCAGGGGACTTGTGCACACACTAGAGGACAAGAAGCACCATCAAAGAAGATACACGAAGCCCTGGCTGGCGTAGCTCAGTGGATTGAGCATGGGCTGCGAACCAAAGTGTCATAGGTTCGATTCCCAGTCAGGGTACATGCCTGAGTTGCAGGCCATGACCCCCAGCAACCACACATTGATGTTTCTCTCTCTTTTTCTCCCTCCCTTCTCTCTCTAAAAATAAAATAATAAAAAAAGACAATTAAAAAAAAAGATACACGAGACCTGAGTCAGTACAACACAGAGTCAGGATGGAAAGAGACATGCTTTGCCACTTAAGAAAAAAGGAAGTCTCAAAAGAAGCAAAATTTCAATACAAATACTTCACATTTACTGGTGCATTTAAAGTACGGTCCATAATAGTTGGAATTCTTCAGTGTGCATAGTTCCTAGCCTGATTTTAGCAAAGGAGAGCTTGCTGGGCATGGGTGAGGTGGAAGGTCAGAGCGGGGACGTGGGAGTAAATCCCGACTCCTGCGTGGGCCATGGAGATCCCGCCCCGGCCGCTGCATCACCCGGGATACGGGAATCTGAGCCTCATGTGGCGTTAACGGGGAGCCAGGAACGAACCAACATTGTCATCGTGGGGATTCCTCCACGGATGTATTAGAAAAAGGTAGTGGGGTTTGCTTATCTCATTCTGCATTCGTGGAGACCCATAAATATGCTGGAAAGGTAGAGAGCATTTAAAATGACTTGCATTTCCCCACAGATACTGACAGGAATCCATTCATTCTGGAGATTTCTAAGCTACCCCTCTCATGCTTTTCTAATTCCAGTTAAATGGGGGTGACTTGGGGGTCGAAGCCGGGGAGGGGACTTCAGGCAGGAGCTTGCTCACCCTCCTCTGGCTGCTCAGGAACCTTGTTGGCTTGACTTCTCAGGCTACGTCTCTGCCTGTCTGGAGCACCTTCTCTTTGACCACAAGTACTGGCTCAACTGCAGGCTGGTGGAGGATACGGAGGTCCAAGTGTCAGTAGACGAGAAACACCTGCAAACAATATACCTGGCGCTCCTGGCACAGGAAGGTGAGCATGGAGTAGGGGTGGGAATGAAGGTCTTATCTGGATATCTATTATCAGAGTCACTGCAATAATCAGGTTACAAAAGAGGCAAAAACCATTCAGATGTGATAATATTCACAAATGAACCCACCTGTTATAATACTACTCCAAATCTCTCTCTCAGTTTCACACTGACATCCCAGGGACAGCTCTGCTGGCCAGTCTCACTGGTCGTCTGAGGTTTAAACCAGCTGGGGAGTTTTCAGAAGACGCTTTCGCCAGGGCTCACCCAGGCGAGTTAGATCCCCAGAGGTGGGGGACCAGGCTTTGGTGTACAGTGAGAGTTGCTCAGGTAATTCCAACGTGTACCCAAGATTGAGAATCAGTTTTCTAAACATATTATATAATTTGATTGCAAAATAAAATTGCCAATCTTGCAAAACCTAAAAGACTTCATGAGATCGAGGAAAGGGATGTTAGAGAACCACATGAACCCCGCCCCCCGCCCCCCCCCCGCCCCCGCCCCCAGTCTGCTCACCAGGAAGGACCTGACCAGCGACAAATGATGACGCCGTAGACACTTAGAGAGCAAGATTTGCATCGATCTTCTGCAAAATGATTCCCTTTGTGCCTGCATTACACAAACAATATAAGAAGGAAAGAATTCCATAATATGTTACTATAAAATTTACTTGGAGAAATTATATTCATTCAAATTAATGCAACTCATTCTTTGTTGGTCCTAAGATTAAGCATGAGGTTGCAATTATAATTGAAGTTCTGTTAAAATATATTTTCATACATTTTGTTTCATTCTTTTTCAAGGAGAAGTTCCACTTAAACCTAAGACTCACGAATTACTCAGAAGTTTTGGTGTCTATTTTTAGCGAATTCCCTCTTACTGGCTTTTTTCCTGGTACCGGTTTTCCAGGTTCTCAAGGACCGCCTGCCATACCTCCCTGACCCCCAGCCTTCACCAACTGTGTACTTTTCTCCCAGGAAGAACAGAGTCTGGGCCATGGAGAGGAAGGTTGCACTGTGTGATAATCCCTTCCACCTCCTGCTGCTCCTTGGGAGGGCTTTTCTCGTTATCTGCAGGCCACTTCTTCTGCAGAGCCACATGCGCTGTGGCTCAGCCAGCTGAGAAGGAAGGGGAGTGTCTGACGCTCCGCAAGGACGAGTTAATCTCAGTGAAAATAGCCGAAGGCGAAGTCGAAGGCGAGTCCGAGTGGGAAGGTGTGTCCTTGGTGACAGGTCAGCGGGGCCTGGTGCCTGTGTCAGCCCTGGAACCTCTGCCGCTCCCTTTCCACCAGTGAGTAGCCACCGGCGTCCCGGGAGAGGGGTTACTAGGTCTGGGCTGAACAGAGCGGGCGTGCTCACACATCGGGGCATGCTTGGTGCCAGGGAGGGAGCACAGTCAGGGTGGCTTTTTCTCTTTCATCATTTTTTTGTTTAACAACCAAGATTTGCACAATTTGGTGAAATTGGAGACGACGCTAAATTTCAGGTGGGCGGTGTACCTAAGAGGTAGTCTACTGCCTGGTCTCCAGTGTCGTGTGTCTCAGTGTAGGGACCAGGGACCGTGGGTATCATAGCCCCCCATGGATGGTACTACAGATCTAGACCCCGGCCCTCAGACTCTTCTGGGGTTGGATCCAGGAACCTGCATTTTACATAAGCTCCCCTTGAACATAAGGAGATGTTTCCCACACTAGAACGTGAGAATCCTTGCTGGAAGATATTTAAACTCAAACATACATTGTGACAATAAACATTCCCCAGCTGTGGGCTGTGTGCGGCTGTGGCAGAGAATCTGACAGAATGGAAAGGGATCCTTTGTTGGTGATTTAACCAACAGACTAATTGCAGAGGCAGCCAACAGGACGCTGGCCTCCTCTCCTTTCACAGTGCTGGAGCCCAAGTAAATTCTCAGTAAGCTCCTGCTGGCATTATGTTAAGTCAGCAACAGCACTTACCCTCATCACCACCATTGTTATTTTAATGGACTCTTCTGCTCACTGCTGTGATTTTTTGAGACCCAAGTTTGCAAACCCTGTGTTTCCATTGACAGATGGTTCCTGAAGAATTATCCGGGAAGCTGTGGCCTCTCCAGAAAGAGGGACTGGATGGGCTCCGATCAGATTGGTATGGCTGAGTTGGGGATAGTGTGGTGTCGTTAGGGAGACAACATTGTCCCGCCTCCAAAGTCTGTCCGCACATTTGGAGTTGGTGCATGTGAATTCCTATCCACCCCAGCTACGGACTGGCTGTGGGGAAGCCAGTCACTATCTGTGCATGTGGGTTTCCTTGCCTGTGAAATGAGAGGCCCCAACCCAGGACCGTGGGGGAAGTGCTGCAGGAGCAGGCAGCGCGCACACGCACGAGGGCCTGGAAGCCGGATGCTAGGGAATGGAGGGGCCGCAGGGATTTAAAGACGCATGGGGGAGAGCAGGCTGCCTGGCCCAAACATTTTTAATTTCCCTTAGAGTTTTGTGAAATTAATCTTGAACTTGGGAAGAGTAAGAATGCCTGGCACATAGAGGGTACCTAGAAAATAAATTTTGAATAAGTGAATGAAATACACACACATACACATACATATAATTATAATGTAGATGTATCTAGTGGGTAACAAACTCCATAGGTGTCTAGAATATACATTCCTTTTATCTTCATCCTTAGAGTCCTTTGCTCTCAATACAAGGTAAAATTTTATAAGTTCTAAGCCCAAATAATACTTAAGAAAAAAAGAAATAGCAGCAACTATGGAACCCAGAAATGAAATCTAATTGACAATTCACCATAAACAAGATCTTTAGCTCTCTGAGAGGCAGTAGCGCCTTGTAGTTAGGAACACGGGCTGTGACGTCTGCTCTGGCTCAGATTCTGACTCTGCAACTGAAAACCGGCATGATCTCGGCCAGCTCGCGTGCCCTCGCCACACTGCAGTTCCTCATTGTCAGCGGTACCGTAAAGCCGACTTCAGATGCTGTCCCGAGAACTGAACCAAACGACCGCCGTAGATCACTTAGTGCAGCTTCCCCACACCGCAAGTGTTCACCACACTGTGTGTCCTCTCAGCCCACAAAGGGGTGGGAATTTCTGGTCTTAAAAACATGGTCCATGGAAATTTGACCAAAAACGTCAGGAAAAAAGCCAGTAGCTTTAGCCGAGGAGCTAAAGCAAATATGGAAACCAAGGCACATAGAAAATCGTTAACTGAATCAGAGGAGAGTCAGGAGAAAGCAGGGTCCCCGGCAGTGGAGAGATCCGGCTTTGTCGCACATAGCTCCTTGGACAAGTCACGTGCCCTCTCTGTGCCTCCTGCTTTCTACTCTATGAAACGAGGATGCTGGCAGTTGGCTCCACCAACCCTGTGGGGTCCTCGGGAAATCCGAGAAAGCAGGCATATGTGTGCTTTGTAAACTGGAGCGCAATGCTCATAAATATAGCATGGCTAGATCCTAGCTAGGCAATTGGTCAAGCGGGGCAATGACCACAGAGTGGAGACTTCAAGGTCCCTCTGGGTCTCAGCAGTTTTCTGTTCATCGGTACTATGAGGCTAACACTTAGTGAGTGTTGGCTAGGGAGCAGTCACGTGACTCTTCCTAAATTCATAAGAGACAGGTATTCTTGTTATTCCCATTTTATAGCAGGGGAGACTGAGGGGCACAGTGGCCGAAGGCGCTGGGAGGGAATGAAGAGATCCCACAATGGATCTCGCCCTGCTCTGTGGGTTTGCGTCAACCACGATGGAGTGCTCACACCATAATGGCAGATCAGCCTCAGTGGGACGACACAGGGGGCTTGCCAGTTTTCCACGCACACTAGCTGTATCCAGTTTTAAGGTAGATTCAGTATTCTGAGATTATCTTTCCTACATGTATTCATGAAATGATGATGGAAGTGGTTAGTAGTTCCTTTTATTGAATGTCCTAGTTTGGCAGAATGAAAAAGCCAATTTATGTCATTCTGTGAATTTCTCCTCTGCGGGGTGTGTGTGTGTACAGAATTTACTGGCCCTTGACATTGGAAAGGGAGGGACCCCTCCCCACTGTGAAAGCTAGTGGGAAGGAAGCTCCACTGTTTCTGCCTGGCTCAGGGCACCCATGTGCTCTCTCCGCAGGCAGAGGGAAATGCAAGGCCTGGAAGGGCCATGAGAGAGAAGAGCGGGATGAACTGAACTTCCGCCAGGGAGACAGCATCGAGATCATCGGCTTCGTCATCCCTGGGCTTCAGTGGTTCATCGGGAGGTCGGCGTGTTCCGGAGAAGTGGGCTTTGTCCCCACCGGGAACATAGATCCTGATTCTTACTCCCCAATGTGAGTATGGCAGAGAGACCCTGGGATGTGTCCTGGGCCTGGGCCACCTTCCTCAGGAGTCCCACCTGTTCTGAGTGGGCTTGCAAATGAACTTCAGGTTCCCTGGGAACACAGGGCCAGAGGAGCACATTCTGGCCAGCAAGGCCTACACAGCAGTGATAGAAAGGACAGGCTGAGTGATTGAGGAAAAGGTCAGTTTAGGTCCTTTGGACAGATGGCCACAGGGGCTTTCCTCTGCAAAAGGAGAGGAGTGCAACCCCTGGACAAATGCTGCTGCTGGGCACCTGGGAGGTGAGGAGGGGCCTCGTACCCTGACACTCATCCTGTCTGATGAAGAGGCCCCATCAAGAGAGGGGCACACGCAGCGGCCTATAGATTCCAGCTTAGCCATCAAGAGTCCCTCCCATGCAGGTCTGTCCACCGAAAGCTTAATGTGTGATGGTGGTGCTGGCCAGGATGGTAGAGGGCATCTTCTCTGCCCGGAGTCCAGAGGGCTGCTTCTGAGACGCAGGTGGCCAGCCTGCTCCGTCACCGTGTCACAGAGGGACAGAGTGCACGGGTACTGCCCCGCTGTCTCTGGGCTGGGCTTCCTGCGTGGGGTTGGAAAACGTCAGGGAGCCTGGGCCCAGGAAGGATGAGAGGGAACGCAGATCTGGCTGCTAATACTGAGACACTCGACACCTCCACACCAGAAAAATGTGGCCCACGGATGATGTCTCAGGCTCTGAACACTGGGACTGGACACCCTTCTCTTCTGGGAAAGAGCCAGCGAGGAGAGTAGACCAAGGGCAGAGCCCTCTCGAAGCCCTGCCTTTTGTAAGGAGAGGAGACAGAAGCTCATTTTCCCTGCACAGAAATGGGGAGCCCAAGGAACTCTAAATAAGAAAGATCACCCCCTGAGCTCCTGGAGGGTCATGGGGTGCACTGGGAGTTTATAAGGAAGAAAAGTGTATCAAGAGAACCTCTGCACACAAGGCGACATTTGAGTTCAGTTCTGCATGATGTGAGCCGTTTCAGCAGAGGCACACGGGGAGAGGAGGTGACAGGTGGGGAAGCGAGGGGATGTTAAGGAACAACTCACATTTTCTGGGAGGCAGGTTACTGGGAGGGCCCTGGTCTAGTACAGGTTTAACGGGCCACGATGTACAGGACCAAGAGTGCCCGTGCTGAGGCCTGCCCTTCACTCGGCAAAAGGGGAGCCACTGAATGTGTCTGAGCAAGGACTGGACACGGCAGGAACTTCCCTCTGGGAAGCTGACCTTGGCTTTGGGAGAGGCATGCATGGGCAAGGGAGGACCTGTAGCAGGAGACTAGTGAGAAGGCCCAGGCCAGTGGCACTTGGGGAGGAGAGGGCACTGCTCAGGACAGACTGTGTTCAACCTTGGAAGTTCCATCTCATTGGTCTGGGCGGGCCTGGGCAGTGATGGGTATGAAAGCTCTCTGGGGGGCGGTATGTGGCCAGGGGGAGACCACAAGGGGAAGTGAGGACCCAGGAGTGAGAGAGCTGGACTCAGCCCCTTGGGCCTGGAGCCCCAGAATCCTGGCATTAAATCCAGTGAGTGCCATAATGAATCCTGGAGATGGGGAGAGAGAATACAGAGGACAGGGCCATGGTGGGGAAGAACCCTCTACGGGGCAGAGGAACGCAGCCAAGGAGACCGAGGAGCCCGCCGAGAGGGCAGGACCAGCCACAGGGGAGTGGGGGGCGCCTGACACTGTTGAAGGCCTTTGGGACTGGTCACCAGGAGGTCACTGGTCATGGGTGACAGCGTAGCTTAGTGATTAGGAGTTTCAGAGCCCACTTCCAGAAGGGCACCGATGGCCATGGGGCACGGCCTGTGCCCGTCCCCTCAGCTTCCCAGCTGCAGCCGTGGGTGTGTTCATTTGTCTCTCTGCGCCTCAGCGTCGTCATCTGTAAAGTGCTCGCCATATTTATACATCCCCACAGGACTGTCATGGGCTGAAATGAGCAAATACAAGCAAAGCACTTAGGATTGGCACCTGATACAGTGTGTGTGCGTGTGTGCATGTGATAAACATGTGTAAGCTCTTACTATTGCTGTTACCACTGGTAACCTCTGAGAGAGTTATAACAGGGTGTCACGGGCAGATGTCAGGTTTCATAAACTGTGTTTGGACTCCACCTCATACCTTGCCCCAAATGACAATAACACAGTACCACTAGCTTTATCCCATTTCAGCTGCTTAGTTGCAGGGGGCACACTGTCACCCTGAAGAACAGCAGCCCCTGTACTGCAGTGGCGGCCTGAGGCCTCCCTATTTCCACAGTACCGTCTCTTGTCCTGCAGCTGGTCAGCTGCGGGACCTGAGAGATTGCACACTTGGCAGGGAAGGTGAAAGTGAGCCAGGACACAGGGCAGGATGGGAGAAGGAGAGGAGAGAGCAACGGGCTCAGTGCGTCCTCACAAAGCACTTTCTAGATGACAGACACCCTGGGACACAGCAGTTGGGAAAACGCCACAGACGTCCTGGATGCAAGCGGCCACCAGGGTGTGGAAGTCCTGGGGAGTGTTCCTGTGTGCTGTGCTGGTGGTTGGCCACTGGGTGTCACGCTTAGTCTGTGTTTGGTCACGGGTTTCTGCAGGTGGTCCCACATTTGCTAGTCTCCATCCTTTTCCCACACACTCCCTCACCGTCTGGGATACTACTCCTTAAAGTGTATGTATGTATGTATGTATGTATGTATGTGTTAGTTAGCTAATTAATTAAGAACTAAATTGGCAGTACAATGAAAGTGAAAGTTTTCAGAAGCTGCTTTCTGACTCGTTTGTTCCATGTCTCTGGCACACGGGAAAGGGGTCCTGCGTGTCCACGGGAGCAGACGTGTGGGCTCCCCTTTTCTGGAGCACAGGGTCGCTGTCATGCCCTAGTGTCATGGCCACAGCAGCTGACGGGCCAGGCGGCAGGCGTTCTGTCCTTGCATTCAACCAGGGTGACTTCAAGGATCCTCGGGGCCTTTGAGAATGACAGAACCCCACACTCTTCCTTTTAAAGATAATCAGTCTGTGTGTGTGTGTGTGTGTGTGTGTGTGTGTGTGTGTGTGTGTGTTAAAGGAGTAAACGTCTTTAGATGGAACTGAAGACACCTCTCCCCCCTCTATCCTGATTCCCGCCCCAGAGGCAAATGTAATTTGAAGGTATTATGTATGTTTCCAATCATTATTCTGATACATTTTAAAAATAAGTATTTGTTCACAAACAAAAAATACTATATGGGTCTGTGTATTTAAAATTTTATATCATTTTTTTCTTCAGCTGGCCTTTTTCTCAATTGACTTCATATATTTAGAATTTATTCCCATTGTAGTAGATATAGTTCTTTTTCATAGTGTTACTTAAAGGGCATTTATATACTTAAATGCCTAGATTTAAAAATAAGCAAGATTGAAAAATTAATGCACTCAAAAGCAGAAAAAAGAATATAGATGAAAAGCTACTATTTCATAGTATGAAACATTTTTAGAAATATCTTTCTTGCATCCCCTCTTTTATTCTTTATATTGTTTACCTCTGTCTTCTTTACAATTCCTTTTCTTGCGGCATCTATTTTTACTGATGAGAAGTCTGCTGCTAGTCTCATAGCCATTGCTTTGCAGGTACGTAGCATTTTTCCAAATGTGGATAAAAGTATCTACATCATGAAGTTGTTACAAAGAGTAAATGAAATAGTAAATTCAGGAATGCTTTGTAAAATTTAAGAGTTGTACAGAAATGTGGAATTGCGCCATTCTTTTTATCTCAAGTGAGCTTAGTTGTAGGTTTCAATCAATTACACGCTCTTTGGAGGATGGACGCTCTTGTGGAGAGTTTGGGGGGTCAGGCCAGGGTGGTGGGGTTCAGCACGGGCTGTGGAAGGAGCCCCGGGCCAGATGTCAGGACGCAGCTTTAGTGCCAATCCTGCCAACAATCAGCGGTGTGACCTTGAGCAGTTTATATTAGCTGCTCCTATTTTCATCATTGCCTTTCAAACAGCCTTTATCTGAGCTCTGGGGACAGAGGGTAGGTGCCTCATAAGGCAATTGTGTATATGAAATGATATAGACTGTCTATATTAGACTGTCTAATTGATAAAAATCCCCCCAAAAGTACTAGCTATTATTAACTCGGGATTCTAAGATATTTTTTTTGTTCAAAAACCATTTTATAAGCAAACTAGATCTTAAAAATTGTTTAGATGGATACTGGATTGAACACTTTCTAAGGCCCCTCTAGTTTTCAAATTCTTTGAGTCTAAGGCAAATCTCTAGTAAGCAAGGTAGTTTGCACAGTTTATAAAACAGGGTGAATATGAAGGTCCTTACTTTTTGTAATCATTTCTTCCAGTGCCCTGGTCCTCTCCCCACCCACTGCTTATCCTTAGCATTTATTTCTCTCTTGACGAAACGACACTGTTGTTCGTGTTATGGAATCTGGTGTCAGGCAGTTGTGAAAGGCCCCCTATGACCGCAGACTCACTTTCCTCATTGTGTCACCTGTCCCCACCGTTTTCTTGCAACAACCCAACGAAGAAACTTCTGTTAATTGTCCCTTTCCAACCTTTATGTTTAGGGCAGCCAGTTCCTGTTTCTCCCATTAAAAACGGGCACCACGAGGTCTCAGAGAATATGTAGAAGTTGAGAGAAGGGGCCATGTTTTGCTCGAGAGAAGGAGTTTGAACAGGGGGTGTGTTCATCATCACCTCGTCCCGCTCAGTAGCTCAGTAGCACACAGCTCAGCTCCCTGTTGCAGCGGTGCCAGCAGTGCTCCTCCTCGATGGCGTATGAGCAAACACATCACACACGGGAGAGACGGAGTCTGATTTCAGCTCCAGGCGTAGGGGCCGGTGGCTTCTCTAGGTCCTTTCCTACCCCCTCGGGCAGAGGGAGAGGGGGTTGTGTCTGGAACCTTTAACTGACCTGCGTCCCCATCTTTTGTCTCAATGCAGGAGCAAGAACTCCGCCTTTTTCAGCGAGGAGGAAAGGTGCTCTCTGTGGGTCTTGGGGAGTGACGGGACGGCTGAGCATGCCGGCTTCCTCCGCACGCTTGCTCACACCGACATCACGTCTGTCTACCGGCTTAGTGAGTGCTCGTCCTCAAGCCCCTTGGGGAGCCCAGGCTCCTCAAGATTAAGAGAGTGTCTAACCAAGAATAGAATACCTTTTTAAAAAAAAGATTTTGTTTATTATTTATCCTTTAAAGAGAGGGGAAAGGAGAGAGAAAGAGAGGAAGAGAAGCACCGATGTGTGTGAGAAACATTGGCCGGTTGCCTCTCGCACACCCCCAGCCTGAGACCTGACCCGCAGCCCAGGCCTGTGCCCTGACTGGGACTGGAAGCGATGACCTTTCAGTTCACAGGCCAGTGCTCAACCCACTGAGCCACACCAGCCAGGGCAGGAATAGAATATCCTTAAATTCTAATCCCACTCATGAACTTGGGGCTGTGGCCACTCTTCAGTGATGACCTGGGTTGACCATATTGGATCAGCAGCACTGGTACTTGAGATTTCAGCCAGTTCTGGGTTGGGCGGGGCTCGTTGCCTAGAAACTGAGAGATGTGTTGAAGTCGACTCAACTGCCACTTGGGAGGCCAGCCCTGTCAAGCCTCCCTCTGTGACCCTGGAGGAGAAAAGCTTCCTGAGCTGTGGCTGTGGTCCCTCCTTCTAGGATGGAAGTAGTGCAGGTTCCCAGTGATGAAGGTGGGGGCACAGAATGTTAACAGCTGGAAAGACCCTAAGAGATGACCTCTCCTCCCGTTGCACAGATCGGGAAACTGAGGCCCAAGTGAGTTAGTGCCTGAGCCTGGATAAGAACAGCCCACCCCCATTTTCTAGTCAGCACAGTCCCTGCTTTCTCACGCTGACCCCGACCCAAATGGCAGTGGACGGCTGGGCACGTGAGACCTGGGTGGGCGAGGGGTCTCAGCGCCTGGCACGGTTCGTAGCAGCTTCAGGGTGACTGACTGCGTGGATGAACCATGCTCCCTTTTCTTACTTTGGGGAGGGCCCATCGCCCTGTGTCGGGAAGCACCTTCTCCCTGTGACGGCAGTTTGAGGAAGGGTCCCTGTTTCTCCTGTCTCTTCAGTGGTGGTGCTGTTGTGTCCACTTTTCATGTGGTGAGGTTTGTTGGGGCCTGTTCCATGGGTGCAGCCAGAGATTCTGCAGGAGGGACCCCTGGTCAGAACCTGGGGGGCAGAGGTGGGGGCTGGCATCCTTCTCTAGCACAAGGAGCATTTGTGGGGAGCCCCTGGGGCGGACATCCGCACCAGCCCTGGTGGATCACAGAGACGGGGATCTGAAGCTGCAGGTGCTGTCCAGTTGGGAGGAGTGGAGCCCTGAAACCCAGCACTACTGGGTCTGTGTCATGGGGCAGGGCTGGCCACAGACTTAGATCCAAGGTGTCTGTCAACTATTGACCCCGTGCTTCAGAGAGACACAGGGGCAGGTTCCAGCCAGCCCAGTGCTTCTTTTCTAAAGACCAGGCGAGCAGTTCGGCTGCCCACAGAGCTGTGCCTGTGGCTGAGCTGGCCGCCCCTGGCGCCAAGGCTCCTGGTAGAGGGAGCGGCCTCTTGGTGAGTCCCAGCTCCCCCAGGGCCTGTCCCCCAGGGCAGAAGTGCCCCTCTGCCATTCCTTCTCTGGGGAGGATGCCATTCTGTGGCTCGAGACTCTGTGCTCTTGGTGTCTGTGCCGTCTTGGCCTCCTCCCGAGGCCCCCACTGCCAGCCTGCCTCCTGCCAGTTGGATTTCATTCTCTGTCTGGAGTTCCTGCAAGCACTGCCAACTCAAAACAGCTAACACGAGGCTCAAGACTGCCCTTTCCCCTGTCTCATCCCACTGTGCTACTTCTGAGGACACAACGGAGACTCTCATACATCTTTGACTTCTTCCCTCTGTTGCTCGTGTTTGGTCACCCGGTGCACGTAGTGTGCACTAACTCGGGGCCTGTCAAGTGATGGGTGATGGGCAAAGAGGAGGGATCTGGGACGTGCGGGCTGGGAGGCCCTGCTGCATGCTGCACAGCACACAGTGCTTGGGGTTCTGTTCACGGCTTGGTCGTAAAGTGGCCGAGAGGTTTGGAGCTTCAAAGTGCATCGTGTCCCCTCCCCATACCTCTTGGCATAGAGCTCATGCCTTCAGCTTCTCTTTTCTGACTCTGGGTCTCATTTCTACCTCAGTTCCCAGCTGCAAAGCAAGTGGGTCAAATAAGATAATCTTCAGGTTCCAGCAACTCTAACCAGACAATAAAGGGGACGATTCTCCCCAGTTCCTTAAAGACAGCTGATGGTCTGAAACATAAACACAAAGTCTCCTAAGAGACCACTGGTCTGGAACACCCTGACAGGCATAGCCATGGTGGCCCAAGGTGACTTAACACGGGTCTGTCCTTCATCTCCATCCAGGTGGCTTTGAATCCATCCAGAACCTGCCAAACGATCTGAGCGGTGAGTAGAGATCCTGCTGAACCTGACCTCCGGTTCCCCAGGACAGCATCCTGTTCCCTTGCCAAGAGCCCGCCACTGCAGTGGCAGGTGCTTAGGGTCGCTCAACTCTGCCTGTCCCTTACAGCGCCCCAGCCCGAAGGCTTCAGGGAGGCCCGGCCGGGTGCAGCCTGGGAGGAGCATCGGGCCACGGGCTCCGGACGGTCCAGCGGCTCCGAGGACTCCAGCCTGGAAGAGGAGCTCCTGTCAGCCGCCTCCGACAGTTACCACCTGCCGGAACCAGACGACCTGGACGACCCGGAGCTGCTCATGGACCTGCACGCCGGTCAGGAGGAGGAGGAGGCTGAGAGCTTCGCCCCCATATTGGCCTTCCTGGATCACGAAGGTTACGCTGACCACTTTAAAAGCCTCTATGACTCCTCCTTCTCTTTCCTCACGTCTTCCTTTTACGGCTACTCTGAGGAGGACGAGCTGGTGGTCTACCTGGAGGCCTCCAGGAAGTGGGCCAAGCGGAGCCACAGGACCTGGGCCCACGCCCGGCTCTGCTTCCTCCTGGGCCGGCTGAGTGTCAGGAAGGTCAAGCTGTCTCAGGCCAGGGTGTACTTTGAGGAGGCCATCCACATTCTCGACGGGGCATTTGAGGACCTGCCCTTGGTGGCTGCTCTGTACATCAACCTGGCGGCCATCTACCTGAGGCAGAGGCTGAGGCATAAGGGCTCAGCCCTGCTGGAAAAGGCGGGTGCCTTGCTGGCCTGCCTGCCTGACCGCGAGTCCAGCGCCAAGAACGAGCTGGACGTGGTGGCCTACGTGCTGCGCCGGGGCATCGCGTCGGAGAGCTGCCCCCTGGAGGCCAGGGCCTGCTTCCTGGCCATCCGGTTGCTCCTCAGCCTCGGCCGGCACGAGGAGGTCCTGCCCTTCGCTGAACGGCTGCAGCTTCTCTCTGGACACCCTCCTGCCTCGGACACTGTGGCTGCTGTCCTGAGTTTCCTCTATGATAAGAAATATCTTCCACACCTTGCAGTGGCCTCTGTCCGGCAGCGCGGTCTCCAGAGTGCCCAAGGGATGCCCCTCCCTATTTGGCAGGTCCACCTGGCCCTCCGGAATGCCAGCAAGCTCCTTGTTGTTCCCTCCGAGAGCCGGACTGAAGTTTCCACCCTGGCCTGTCCGGCCCTCCGGCAGGCACTGGCCGCCTGCGAGGAGCAGGCTGACTGGGGCACCCAGAGGACCCTGTGTCTCATCATGTCCAAAGCGCACCTCCAGCACAGGTCTCCTGACGGGGCCATCTACTACCTGAGCCAAGCCCTGATGCTGGGGCAGCTGCTGGGTGAGCAGGAAGCCTTCGAGTCTTCCCTCTGCCTGGCATGGGCCTGTCTTCTGGCCGGCCGGGCGAAGAAGGCCTTGGACATCCTCTGCCCACTCTTACACTCCCTGAAGGAGACAGAGAGTGTTACTCAAATGGGCGTAGTTCATAACCTTCTGGGCCTTGTACTTCAAGGTGAAGGCCTGGTGAACAGGGCGGCCAAGAACTATCTCTGGGCCTTGAATGGGGCTCGGGAGATGGGCGATGTGCGCAACCAGGCAGTGGCTTTGGCCAATCTCGGCCACCTGTCCCTTAGGTCCTGGGCTCCGCAGCCAGCCAGACACTACCTCCTCCAGGCCATCCGACTCTATGGCTCACTCCAGGCCAGCGTGGAGACAGACATGGAACTAGTGCAGGTGTTTCTCTGGCTGGCCCAGGTCCTGGTGCACGGGCGCCAGCTGGCCGGCGGCCGCCTTTGTTATGAAACGGCACTGCTGTTTGGCTTGAGGCACCGGCACCTGAAGAGTGAGTATGCCCCCTGTTGCTGGGGAGCTTGGAGAAATCTGTGGGCGCACGGCTTTGCCCTCGGCCTTGCTCAGGTCGTCTCATTCGTGTCCCTGCTTTATGTTCAGGTCAGCTTCAGGTCACCAAATCCCTCTGCCATTTCTACAGCTCTGTGTCCCCAGACCCCGAGGCATGCATCACCTACCACGAGCACTGGCTGACGCTGGCGCAGCGACTCAGGGACCGGGAGATGGAGGGGCAGCTGCTGCAGTCCCTCGGGCAGCTCTATCGGAACCTGAGCACGGCCAGGTGAGTCCGGGCCTAGGGACGGCCCCGGAAGGATCTTTCCTTTCTTAAGCAGAAGCATTGTTCTTCCCCTCAGGAAGTCAGGCCCAGGTGCCCATGCCATGCGTATGTGGTGTCAAGGAGGTGAGCGTGGGCTTCGCAGTGACCACACAGTGCCAGCCCAGGGCCACCCGTCACCTACCAGCTGTGTGGCCGTGGACAAGTTACTCACTTTCTCTTTGCCTTGGTTTCCTCCTCAGTCCAAGGAGAATAATGATGGCATTTCTCCTGTAGCGTTTGTGTGAAGAATAAATGAGTTAATGCCCATGGAACGCTTGGAACAGTGCCTGATGCATAGAAAGGGCTCAGAAATGTTGCCTATGTTACCATTAGTTGTGTGTTTCCATAACAACCCATCATGTGACCATGGCTGAGGATGCATGATTCGGAAAGGTGGTGGCTATTGCCAGGATGGTGGGACCCTCAGGTCTTCCTTACCTGAAGACAATCAGTATCAGAGAAAGAACAGCTAAAGTAGATAAATTTACTGAAAGCAGGGGTGTAAAACTTCATGGTAAAGAAAGTTTGTTTGGACCCTTACCTTTAACATGAAACTGGGAATTATAAAACTAAGTTTATTTCACTTCTTAGTTAAGAATATTTAGGTTATAACTGCAACTATGCACTAAGTCTTGGGATCAAGGAAAGAAGTATTGACTTTTAGCTCATGTTGAGTACAATGAAACATCCTTTGTTTTGTGATCAACTCCTCAGTAATCTCTTTAAAAAGGTTCATTTTTTGCAGAAATATACCAAAACCTAACTGTTTTACCCCAAGGCTTCTTTTAACCATCAGTGTTTAAACTATTCTCAGAGCGTCCTGTCATCTCCTGTGATTTTTCCCTCCCCTGTGTCCTCACTGGCCTCGTCTGCTCCATCTTGTTTGCCAGTGGCATGTGGCCTGCTGCTCCTCGGGCTAATGAGCCTTTAATGCACTCTATTAAATTCTCCATGGCTTCCAAGATGTTCAACTTCGTTTTGCAACAGATTAGCATTGTAGCATTGAATTCATCATTGTGAATGACTTCTGAAATAGAGCAAAGATAATGACTAGTGAGCAGAGAGAGGCGGTTGAGGAGAAGCTAATTAAATTATAATTTTTGCTTTTCTAGGCAACATAGTAATCTGGTGACCCTAGACACCCCGACAATCGGATTAGGAACAATCAGATAATGATCTCTCTCTCTCTCTGTCCTCCTTTCCCTCACCCTCTTCCTTTCTTCCGAGAATCAGGCACCCTGCAAATCTCCCACCATCTATGCCTCACTCCCAGGAAGGGAGTTTTTGATCCTTGCTGCATGTGAGGGGACAGGGGGCCCAGCCCCAGCTCTGTCCTTGCTTCCATCTGGACGGCCCAGCAGCTAGGATAAGTCTGGAGCAGATCCAGGAGTCAGGCTCGAAGTGACCTTAGAGACAAAGCAGTCAGGGACAAACACCCCAGGGAAGGCTGTTCTGGCTGAGTGGGCTCTGAGTTGGTTAAATAAAACAAGCCCTGTGAGGGGGCTTTCAGGGAACTTCTGGGCGTGGCGGGTAGTGACAATCCACTGGGGACAGAGCACTGGGGAATTCCAAACTCACTGCGCCCTTCCAGTGGCTGCTGGCTGCTGGTTTCCCAGCTTCCGTGGCTGTGAAGCGTTTGGTTCTTAAGGCTGCCACGGAGCTGCGGAGAGGAGATGCCTGTAGTCTAGAGCGAGTGAAAAAGCAACAAAACTCACTGTTTTTAACAGGATTCAGCTATTTTCTTGAATGCACTCTCCTCAAACTGTTGCAAGCCTTTGGTTAACTTCGGAAGTTCTGAAAAAATTGATTGTGACCATTTGTGCCAGAGTTCTCATTGGTTTTATGTGGGAGTGGATTTTTGGAGGCCTTTACTCTGTTGTTCTGGAAGTTGATCCAGATTAGAATTTTTAATCCTAACATTCTGTAAATCTAAGATCCGAGATTCTTATTTGTACAATTGGGAGGAAATGAACATCCACTTCTTTACCATCATCATGAGTGACCCAGAGAGGAAGATCATGAAGTCCTGGAGGTGACAGAGGAAACCTCCATGGACGCTTGCCCACTCTCCCTTTATGGAATGCCCAGTTGATCAAGGAGAACATGTTGTAAGGTCATATTTACTTAGCATGTGTAAATCGTCCACTTCTATGAGCACTCAAGGAAAAAAGAGAACGAAACCAGTTAGCAAATGTAGAAAAACAGGTGTTCCCATGCACCCGGGTGATTACTGTAAGTTAGTGCTGAGCTTTCTCGTGGCTGAGGTGAAAGGGGAAAGCCATGCACAGTCTCACTGTGGGATAAAGGAACATAAGCAAATATATCTGTTGGAGCAACATTTTCCATGGCACTGATTTTTAGGAGGAATTTATTGAGTGGGTTTTGATGTAATGGACACATTTCTTCCACTGAACTTCCCTGAAGGCATTTTCATTCTCCCAAAGCCACAGCAGGCACAGGCAGGACAAGTCATGGGTGATGGCAGGCTTCTGCAAGCCTAGGTTTGGAGGGACAGGAAGGAACTGAGAGTCAGGGAAGACTTTGTGAAGCTGGTAGCATTTGAGGCTGTCCTTGAAGGATAAGTAGGATTTTGAGAGTGAAGAAGAATCAAAGAATGGAATTTTGGGTAGAAGGAATAGCGGTAGCAACGGAACGTGGGGAAGGTGGGGTCACATTTGAAAGACATCGCGTGCGTTTCAAAGGCAGAGTTTGATGTTCATCTGGATATGGGCACAAAGGGAGAGAGGAGTCCAGCTTGTCCCCTAGGCGGGGACATGGAGCTTGGGGATGGGGGCGGGATTCACAGCGGAGCATAGATCTGCCCAGTGAGCACCCACTGGGAAAGCGGTCGTCACAAGAGGAACGGAAGGCGTTCAGTGCGATGCACCATTTGCCGAGCGATGTGTGATCTCAGGATACCCGCCCGAGGTAGAAAGAGTTATAGCGACGGAGAGCTGAGGAAGCCTGACTGGCAACCGTGATGCCTCTGACTGAGCCAGGCTGAGGTGGTTCTGGGAGGATGTGTTTTTAAGAAGCTTCCTAGGTAATGATGAATCAGGCAGGCTGTGAATCGGCCTTTGAGGAATGTGGGTGTTATGGGACAAGTCCTGGGTTGGGACTCAGGAGAAGGGGTTCTAGCCTTGAGTCTACCCCTAATGTGCTGTGCAACCTTGTACAGTCGCTTCCCATCTCTGGACCTGTTTCCTCTATAAAATCAGGGGCTTGGACTAAGTCCACAAGTCTCAACCCAAGCTGTACAATGGACTCACTATTGGAGAGCTGAGACAGAATGCTGGTGCCCAGGCCACACTCCCTCCCTGAGTGTCCCAGTGTAGCATGGCATGCCAACACATTGAGGTGAGTTTGCCTGTGTGTGTAGGTTTAAAAGACTTCCAGGTCATTCCAGTTGCTCCTGGACTTGAGAACTACTACCTAGATGATGCCCAGTGCTCCCTCCTGTTCTAGAATTTTCAGTCTGCACAATACTACGTCACCTCTGCCTTGTTTCTTCTTTAATCCCTGTCATGGGGGAGTACTATCCTACATAAGACATTTTTTCCAGATGATTAAAGAGTACTCTGTTGAGCACCAGCCTTTTAAAACTTTAACTCTTCTTTGATCCTTCTTCTTACAACATCAAAATGTTTTTGCTGATTGAAAGTCATCGCTGTGGTCATTCATTTGCACATTTATCCAACCAGTAGGCATTTGGCATCTACTGTGTGTTAGGTGCTTATGAAAAAAATGTTCTAGTGCAGCAGGATGGATGGATGGATGGACCCTGGGTCAGAAATGATAATGACTACTAACATGTAAATATTTACCAGGTGCTTACTCTGTAGTAGGCACTGTTCTAAGCACTCCAGTTTCATTGTTACATTTAATCCTACAACAATCCTCTGAGGCAGGGACAATTATATCCTTATATTACAGATGTGGAAACTGAGGCACAGAAAAGTTCCGTGCTTTCTCAAGGTCACGCTGCTGTCAGAGGCAGAGCCAGGGTTCAGATCACGCCTGGACCTCCCCGTGTGACCTGAAACAATGTTGTCTCGTCCCAGAGCCTCCGTGTCCTCCTGTGGTAAGGGACTTGGAGGCCCCTCTGAGCCCTTACACCTTATGAGTCCGTGTCTGCCCCTCAGGTCCCTCAGGAGGTCCCTCACCTGCATCAAGGAGAGCCTGCGTATCTTCATCGACCTGGGGGAGGAAGACAAGGCTGCCGAGGCCTGGCTCGGGGCTGGGCGACTCCACTACCTCATGCAGGAAGACGAGCTGGTGGAGCTGTACTTGCAGGTAGGCCTCCTGTGGGGCTCACCTGCCGACCTGGGCCATTCGGGGAGGCAGCCGTACCCTGCAAAGTGGCCATCAGGAGCTAGAGAGAGGTGCTGTTCTCTCTCTGGAGGGCAGGTCAATGCTGGGCTGCTCCCTGGACACAAGATGGAAAGCAAGGAAGTCTGGCGGGCTGCAGACAGGTGGCGAAGGGCCAGTGTCCGAGTCCACACACACAGGTACGCTCCCCAAGAACGTGCTGGGAGACTCCTCACCTGTCACGTCAAGTACGTCCATCTTTCCAAAGCTTGACACATGCTTCAACTTCAGGATTTGGCTGCAATTTGAGGCAAGATTGATGTGTGTGGAGTGTTAACAGTGTTGTTCTCAAACTGTATAACCTTGCACATGTTACTGGAGCTCTCTAGACCTCTAGTAAGGTTCAGGTATATCACTTGTGCAGTAAATGCATATGCATAGTAAGCAGTTACTAAGTGCTGGGGACTTAGTAAATGCTCAACAAATGCTATTTCATTATCATCACTATTAACTGCAGATACTGATATTATGATGGTATATAAGATTTGCTCCATCAAAAATGTGCTTATTATCTTTCCTTCTTTCCCATTGCATATTATTTTCCTTTTCCCTCCCCCTTACTCCATTACTTAAACTTGCACAAACTCACTTGCACAGGGCCTGCACGGTAACACTAATTGAATGCTTATTATGCACAGGAGACTTTGGTGAACACATCACATGTATGATGTAGTTTAATCCTCATGACAAACACAGCAGGAGTTTCTACTGAAATTCCCATTTTACAGATGAGGCCCATTGAGGCTGAGTACCTTGCCTAAGGTGATACAGCAGTAAGCGGTGAAAGCAACCCACTGGTAGCGTGACTTAAAGCTTTCTCTCTCACACTATTCTGCCAGGGCATTTTGGCACTGGCAGGAGCTTCAAAGAGCAGATAATTCCGTCTGGCCTCTCATTGTCCAGGGTACAGAGGCTATCTGGGTTGCTCAAGGCTTGGCGGCCGAGCCTCCTGACTCTGGACTGCCTCTCCCCACCCCTCTCTGCGTAGCTGCACACGCGGTGACAACAACTGTGGCAATTCATTCACTGGCCAAAAATGGTCTCCAGCCCACCCCACCCCAGACTACCGTCCGACCTGAAGTTCTGCAGGTCATTCCCACAGAAGCGAACCCTTCTCTGTCCGAGGCTGTGGGAGGCCCCGCAGCTGTGCTGCTGATGCTGTCGTGTGCGCTTCGCTCTTCGACTCCCTCACCACGTTTGGTTTCGATGCCATAGGACATAGCTCTCGGGGGAGAAGGCAGTCACGGGGGCCGGGAGAAGGGTGTCGGGCTGGAAGACGCCAGCATTTGTTTGCCGCTGACCGCCCATGTGACTGTGGTGTGGTTCCGTAATTTCTCTGGGCCTCGGTCCCTCCATCCGGAAAGGGCCGGCGTCTGTGAGATCAGTGCTGTCCAAAGTTCAGCCATTTACACGTTGAGGTCACGGCTTTGCCGTATCCGCGTGCCGTGTATATCACTATTTACTTATTTTTCTTTGACTTAGCTTCAAGTCACCATAGTTTTTTACACTAAGTAATATTATCTGAAATCACAGGTTGATGTATTACTAATCTTTTTTCTTAAAACACATTAAAATAATTACTTAGCTATTAAAACATAAAATGTTTGTACTGCTGACAATTATTCTGGGACCATCCAATGTACTCTGTCATACAACGGTGGGGACGTGCCGGGCTACGGACTCTCAGAGGCTTCCGACCAGCCCTGTGAGTGTGGGGACAGTTCAGGATTCTGGGGACTTCAGCAGAGGGCTGAACTAGGTGGCCGGGGTCTCACTTCTGACAGTCCTACGAGCCTTTGACGTCCTTCTGTCGCTTTGACGGTTGTCTCTGTCCCACCCAGGCGGCCATCCAGAAAGCCCTGAGGTTGGAGGAGCCCACCCTGGCCCTCAAGCTCTACGAGGAAGCCGGCGACGTGTTCTTCAACGGGACCCGCCACAGGCAGCGCGCGGTGGAGTATTACCGGGTGAGTCCCAGGCCACGCGGCGTGCCCCTCCAGGCCCTGCAGGACACAGGTGTGGGTGGGGCCACGTGGACTTCAGCCTGGACCCTGCTTCCCCTCTTTTGCTGCTAATTCCTTTTCTTCCGTTGGTCAGTGTAAGAAATGACCACGTCTGGAGAGAATTTTTATGACTTTATGGTGCCAAAGTGATGACAATTCCTGAGAAGCAAATCTCAACAGACTGAGAAAATGCTCTGGAGAATGGCAGTGTTGCAGCTTATTTTATACATTAGAATCAGAGGAGGAGCTGCAAGGAGGGGTTACCTGAAATCTACTGGTGGTAGATTAAGGAGATGGGAGAAAGCAAAGCAGGGAAGTCTCTGGGGTCGGAGAAAAGGTGAAACAGAGAGACACGTTTCTTTTACATTGGGGGCACAGGACGGTTAACAGTGAGCATCTGCAGCACGTGGGGACGGTGTGGGGGGAACGAGACAGCAGTGAGGGGTCCTGTGGCCTCCTGGTTTGCGGGTGCACCCCGAGGGGTCTGCAAAAGGAAATCACTCTAACATTTCGAAGGCATGTCCTCTTAGACGCAAAAAGGCACCAGACAGGCTCACATAAGGTGAAGACTGACCTTTGCCAAGGAAGCCACAGGCCTAGGACGTGCCTACCTGCCATGACCCACTTTTACTGAGGAATTTTCGTGTTCAGACCATCCTATGTGGTCACTTTCAGTCTCTGAGTTTGTAGGACCCCGCCACGCAGGCCTCCCCTGAGCTCACAGGTTTAGCGAGGGGATCCTTTCGAGAATCAAGCCAGCAAGCCTTCTCTCTCTTCAGTCTGTCAACCTCCCGGAGAAGGGGCTGATATGCTCTGTCATTCTCAGGCTTGACAACTTACTCCTCCCGGGAGAACAAACTGTAGTAATCACATCTCTCGGGTGCACGGTTTGCAGCGCGCTTCCCTGTTTAGCAGAACGCCCCCCCTCCAGTCATTGGTGGCACGGCAGGAGATGACTGGTCGTGGGTGAACACTCCTGTTCACTGTGTTTTTATTACGTGGAACACCAGCTCGTCAGGCCCCCGAGTTCACCGGTATTATTACAAAGGGTGAGGCAAGATAATACAAGGGGGGCGATTTAAGAAATACTACTAAATAAATGTCTAGAAATTAAACAGATATGTCAAATATCATAATTTTTATTGCAGACTGAGGTTGGAAACATGATCTTCTCTGATTCTAAAATCTCACTTATTCAGACATTCATTCATTTGCTTGTTCAATTGGTTATTCAGTCATCAAACATTTATCAGTCACCTACTATGTGCCAGGTGCTGGACAGGAGACACATCCCTGACTGTGGAGGTGCTCGTTGTCATACGCATTTTTACAGGCTCAGAGAGGTGCAGGGACCTGCCTAACATTCTGTTTATTGGGCACTCTTGTGCAGCGACGCATGCGTGCGCTTCAGAGATGAGCACTGTGGGTGCCGAGGGAGCACGTGGCTGGGAGGTGAAAAACTTTTCCTGCTCTCAGTTTTCTAAAACTCAGGAGGCCTGATGTCCTCCAGTTCTCCCACCTCTAAGATCTGGGCAGAGAAACCAAGAAGAAGGACCAAGAGGGAGAGCTGAGGAAACCCATGCGTGGACACACGACGGGTTTCCGTGGGCGTCAGTCCCTGCCGTCCCCCAAACTGCCAGTCGAATGTGAGCCTCGTAAAGCAGCGATTTCCAGCGGTTTCCATCTCCTGGTGCACATAAACTAATGCCTAAAGTTTTGCAGCACATAAAAGATATTATATATTTTTTGCTGATTGACAAAAAATAGGTATAATTTTGATTCATTCAGAGCCAGACAGCTATTGTTGTGTTGGCTGTTGTCATTTTTTCAATTTGACAGTCTGAGGAAAAGAGGCTGGTGCCCCTGACGAAGTAGTCAGGTGTTGCAGGCTTTAACAATTCCTGCGGTGCACCGGGTGAAAATAGAAAATCGCTGTCCTAAAGTACGGTATGTCCTGGAAGTTCTTGGGAGTCTAAGATTCCTTGTGCCTCCCTTCTCAGGCTGGGGCTGTTCCTTTAGCAAGGAGGATGAAGGCGCTGAGAACCGAGCTCCGGATCTTCAACAAGCTGGCAGAGCTGCAGATCAGCCTGGAAGGCTACGACAAGGCTTTGGAATTTGCCACCCTGGCAGCCAGACTCAGCACAGTCACAGGTAGGTGGTCTGCTCTCGAATGGAAGGGACCAACACTCCCCAAGGAGACAGAACAGAGCAGTCCCAGCACAGGTTCTGGACACCGACTGCATGGGTTTGAATTCTAGGTCCGACCGCAGGGAGACCTTAATTAAGCAAGCTGCTTAAGTCTTGAGTGTATCTTTGGCAAGTGAGGGTTAAAACTAGTACCCATCACATGCAGTTGTTATGAAGACCACTGAGAATCCATGTAAACCTACAGAACAGTGCTGGGCACATAATACGTCCTTGATAACTCCTACCTGTGCCACTCTAATTACTATATTGCTGTTGGTATTATTCCATGAGGACAGGGCAAGTGGTAGTCCATTCTATGCACAGACAATGCCCTGTTACAAAAAGACCGTGCCCTAAATTTTTAATTGGTTGATCGTTAGTTAGTCGGAAAAATGCATATTTTCCCCATAGAACTGAAAGGTCAATGAAGGTCAGATTATTAACTAACAGCAGTAGCCAAAATAGTTTGCATGTACCACAAAAGCTAGTGGAAAACAATGCAAGTCATTAAAACAGAAAGAAGGCAGAATAGAAAACAATGAAAAAGAACCCCTCAGTTTGAAAGTTGATGCTTGAAGGAAAGCAGGTTTGATTAGAGGAGCCGTGATTAGATGTGGAGCAAATGGAGCCTCCTGCGACGGCTCTGGAAGGGACTCTGGGCATCCTCAGCCGCCTGAGACGTGGATGCTGCTGGACTTTATTGTGTCTAATTGCACTTCCGAGCTCTCCTCCTATCTTTTCCTTGACTGCAAAAACCCTCTGAGTGACTGCCTGCTGATCTCAGAGGAGGCCTTGCCCCGCCCTTCTCCACCCAGCCTCGGGATGGCTCTGCTCTCCCCACCCCACGGCTGCCTCTGGGAGCAGGCTTTGTCCTTCCCTGGACAGGGCTGAACGAGGAGCGGAGGCTGTTTCCACCCTTTTCATGAACTTTTCTGTGACCGAATTTGACCGTATCAGAGACTTTTCTCTCCTTTGGATTTTCTATTTTAATTTGGGCTTTTGGCCCTTTGAAGCTCGAAAGTGAGGTTTTTAGATTGTGTCAAGCAGCCACCTTGCAAATATTAAAAACCAAAACAAAACACTGGAAGCCTTTGTGCTCTTTAAAAGTCCACTTTGTGTTAGAGCAGCTGTGACCAGCCACCAAAACCCCAAACCACAGGACCGGGACTGCAGAGAATGACGGGTCTGTGGTTTGGGTCCTGGAAGCTCATCTGAGCCCCGGGGCTGGTGACGGAGCAGCGCTGGCTGCCGCTGGGGTGGCCCCAGGGCTTTCTGTCGAGGGAGCCTTTTTGTGCAGGAGACATTTGTTATGTGGGGTTATTTCATTGTCAAGAATTCTTAGTTATTCCGTCAAGCTGGCCTTGTCACCATGTCCCATCACAGGAATTTGGAGATAATCATTTCCCCGAATCTTGAGTTAAAGTGACGCCTGTAAAGAGGAGACATTTTTCCTCTGGACTCGTCCCAGGAAACCTTGACCAGCGTGCTGTCAGGGAGCTGTGTGTTTTCTTCGGCACCACTTACCCCGGGTGCACTTTTCCTTTTGTTTGTGGGATTATTTCCGACAGCAGCCCTCAGCTGCGCAAGGACCTCTTCCGCTTTGTTCCTCTGTCCCGAGCACAACCCCTGACACCCAACAGGCCTTCAAAGAATTGCACGGAATGAATGAGGGAACTAATGAGGGAAGGGCGTGGCTGCCAGGCATTACTCTCCGTCTTCCAATCCCCAGGAGATCAGAAGCAGGAGCTGGTGGCCTTTCATCGCCTGGCCACGGTGTACTACTCCCTGCACATGTATGAGATGGCCGAGGACTGCTACCTGAGGACGCTGTCCCTCTGCCCAGCCTGGCTGCAGAGCCCCAAGGAGGCCCTGTACTATGCGAAGGTGTATTACCGCCTGGGCCGGCTCACCTTCCACCAGCTGAAGGTAAGAGCCAGGCTTCTGAGGTCACATGAGAGCTGCCATTCAACTATACTCTTCCCTGACCCCGAGCCTTCAGGAGACAGCTGAGATGGCCCAGATGGGGGGTGACAGGGCAGGGAGTGACTCCACTGGGGACCCAATGGCTCTGTCCACTCAGCCTCTTCAGAGACCTCAAAGATGTCTCTCATCTCTGTGGACAGAGCCCAGCTCCCCTTTCTCCTGGCTCTGCCCTGATTGCTGCGACCACGTTATCTGTCAGGAGCTGTGTGCACGGTGTCCTGCTTGAGAGCATCTCAATGACCTGTGAAAACATACACTAGGAGACCCAGATCAAAAGAACTATAAGCCCCCAAATTAAAATCAAAATTAGTGCTGCAGGTAAATGCTTAAATGTTATAGACAAACGAGTCAATTATAAAGTTACATAAAACTATATTTTAGGGGAAATCTGAGTGCCAGTATGTTTGAGAGGATGAGGCGTGGGGTCTGCGAATGCCCACACGCCGAGGTTCTCAGAAGGTCTCAGTGCTGACTGTCCTGTTTTCTCGGCTGGGGCTGAACCCAGAACTCATTTCCCAGCCACTTCCGGGCAGAACTGTGCTGGTGACCTGAATCCCCTGTACAATCCTGGCCCTCAACCCTTGTCCCCAGACGTCGGCTCCTCTGGGCCAGAGTGTCCTGTCTGCCTCAGCATGAGCCTTGATCTCTCAGAGCGGGGGCTTCGGAGCTGCTCGCCTGTGTCTGGCCCTCAGGGGATCCTCGGGCAACTCTGCTGTGTGTTTCTTATTCGCCAGATGTTGCTTCTGGCCTGAATGAATTATTGAGTTACGAGGGTTAATGGGAACCAGACATCCCTCTCCGAGTCTCACCCAAAGCAGCCTTGGTTCCCCTCCCTGCCGTGAGGGGAGGGCCGACTGGGTGTGAAGGACCCACCTGCCATCCTGCTGCTCAGGCAGGTGGTTCAGGAATGAAGTGTGTGGCCGGGCTGTGTGAACCAAAGTCTCCAGGCATTGCCAGGGGAAGGACTCACTCAAACTAGCTTATGAGAAAGAAAGAAAGAAAGAAAGAAAGAAAGAAAGAAAGAAAGAAAGAAAGAAAGAAAGAAAGAAAGAAAGAAAGAAAGAAAGAAAGAAAGAAAGAAAGAAAGAAAAATAAGGCAATCTGTTGGCTTAAACAAGGGGGAAGTTCAGGAGTAAATTCAGTTTCCAGTAGCTCTGGATGCTGGTACTCAAACGCCATCATGCATTTCCCCACCTCGCTCTGCATCTCTGGGCTCTGTTGTCTCTACTTCTCTGTGTTTCCTGGTCTCCTTCCTCTCCCACTATTGGCAGGCTCCAGCCCATGTCTAAGAAGGTAAGGGGCCATTTTCTTTGCTAGGTCACACTGCAAGGCCCCGGGGTGGGACTGGGATAGGTCAGCTGAATCATTTATGCATCCCTGAAGCACTGTGCCCAGGAGTATGCTGCTTTGTGGTTTGCTGGCCCGGGCTAAAGTGCCACCCCTGTGCCTGGGCAGGAGGCACTAGGGTTAGCAAAGTCCCAGGCTGCAGTGGAGTAGGGAAGGGGCTCCCCTCCAGACCCCCAGCCGGGAGACGGGATGGGAGCGTGTGTCGGGCACACAATAACTAGGGCTCCCAGCACTGCCTCCCAGCCTGTCCTGGGAACGTTGCTAATGCTGTTTCTTCTTTGCCCCTATGCCATGGGGATAGGATGCCCACGATGCCACTGAGTACTTCTGGCTGGCCCTGGCGGCAGCCATCCTGCTGGGTGACGAGGAGCTGCAGGACGCCATCAGGAGCAGGCTGGACAGCATCTACCAGAGCCCCCTGTGGCTCAGCAGCCCCGGCGGGCGTTCCTCGGAGAGGGCCCGGTGGCTGAGCGGCGGGGGCCTGGCCCTCTGAGGAGCGCTGTCCCCTCTCTGACCAGCTGCCATAGCCAGAAGTTGCCTCCTGCCTTAGGCTCCTGGACACTAATTGGAGGGTCTGAGTCCTCACCTGGCCCAGCCCCCTCATTTTACAGTGGGAAGACCACAGTCCCAAGGGAGAGGGGCTCTCTGGGCTGGCCACACAAGCAGCAGATGATGGGGCTGGGGTTAGGAACTTTACCCGCAGACGGTGGCCCTTCCACACAGGTGGCCTCGGAAATGCACTTTCTTGACACACAGTTCTCCCAGAGAAAATGAAAAACTGTGCCCCTGGGACAACTAGCTCCTTCCCCGGGGAAATCAGGAACTGCCCCGGGGAGAAGGCAAGCTGAAAGGACTTGGCTTCTTCACTGACTTTGCTCAGGGAAAGACCCTGCCCCTGCTGGTGGAGAGACAGGGGAACTGGTGGGGCGAATTCACCATGCTCTTAGCCCAGAAGACGCAGCCTCCAGATGGCCCTGGGAGGCACAGGGCGTGAGCTCTACCATGGATGCTCTGTGTCCATCCTGCCCATGGGACCCCCCCAAACACTTCCCAAGGGCCAGGGCATAAAAACTGAGCACTCAGAAAGCTATGCTGTAAAGTACATGTAAATTGTGTATATTATTAAATATCGCCCATTTATACTTACACAGACATTTGTCTCCTTTGTAATATGGGGAGATGGAATGGGAGACCTGAAGGGCGGGTGTTGTAATGGTTTCAGGGTAGCTCGTTTTCAAACCATTTCTGTTGGTTATCCGTCACTGCATTGCACACGTGGTGGCTGGAAATGTATTATCTCACAGCCTCTGGAGGAAGGCGGGAACTCAGGGTGACTTAGCTGGGTCCTCTGGCTCAGGGAGGCTCACAAGCTAAGATCAAGGTGTCAGGTGTGGCTGCAGCCTCCTCAGACTCAGCTGGGGAAGACTCCACTTCCAAACTCACTCACTGCACGTCGGCAGGAGTCGGTACCTGGCTTGCCGTTGGCCCGAGGCTGCTTCATCAGAGTGAGCGTGTGAGAAGATCGAGAGGAGGAGAGTCAGGGGCTTCTCGTAACCTTGTCTCAGAAGTGACATCCAGTTAGTTTTCCCTATTCTGTTCATCATAAATGAGTCACTCAGTCCAGCCCACACAAAAAGGGTGTGAATACCAGGAGCTGGGGACAATTGGGGGTCCTTCAGAAGCTGCCTACCCCAATAATTCGGATTCACTGGGTCTGGGAGACACCCTTGGCACCTGCATTTTCAACAAGCACCTGCAATGCCCCCGAGGCAGGTGCTGCACCCTTGCTCTGCCACAGGGCTCGCCGCCTCCAGCCCGGCAGCTTCGATTTTACCGTCATAGCCTCTCACCTTGATTTCCAGCTTCTCGGGCAACCAGATGGTGGGCGGTGTGTCGGGATGGGAGGCGGGCAGTGAACTGAGTCCGCATTGCATCTTTTAGTCACCAAGCCTGTCTACACGTCAGTATGTCTTGCTTTCTCTGAGGGGCTTGGCTGGGTGTCAAAATACTCCCTACAGAATACCCTTCTCCAGGAGGGAACTGAAGTGAGCTAATCACTACCCTGTAAAACGGATGTGGTTTTGCTCCCACCACGAACCAGTAAGTCCCGATCAGGGAGGGATGTGGGGTGGGGGCTCACCTCCCAGGCGGAGCCCTTCCGGCAGCGCTCCTGGGAGCTGATCGGGGCACGCGCATTGCAGAACCGTTACGCGCCTTACATTTGAAGGCTTGCTTGGCCCGTGAGCAGGTGCCATGACCTGTTCTCCATGTGACTCCAGTGACGGACCCTCTCCCTTTGCCGCTGACCTATTACTCTCCTGGACAGATGCCCACTTCCGTTGCTCTGACAGTTGTGGTTCCCATTACTGCGCCAGGCTTTGGGTCCTGGCTGGCGGGGGAGAGTACGGAGAGCTGTTACCGCACTCAGTGTTGTTTAACACTGTGTTTTAATGTCGCACCAAGATCGTTCTCTTCTCCGGCAGACGCCTTACCACTGGCTCACACGGAGCTTATGATCAATTGAAACATCTTCTTCCATGAGCTTCTGTTTGACTAGATCTGTCTCAATTGCTACATGTAATTGACATATACCCATACTTATACATTTCTGTGAAGGGCATTACACCTGCCCATTTTACATTTCATTGGGAATTTTTGGTTAACATTTTCTGATTCTGTGCCCTTTGGTTCTTCTGTCATTGTGGCATCTAACTAGGTCAGTTGTAAAAACGTTCAGTACCCTTGCAAAGACAGGGTAGAGCTTTGTTTTGTTTTGTTTTCAATGAGGAAAAACACTGGACTGTATTATTGTGAGGACTATACCCTACAAGCAAAGTGCTCCACTGAAATAGTTCTAACAGTGTTTAAAATTCCGTTTTAAAAATAGGGGTGCCTATTCCCCTTGAAGTCTTGTTGAAGCGTTTTTTCACGATGAGCAGAGTGTGCAGTGGCGTCTGGCTCTGGTCTCTGTTGAAGCGGGTTTCACCACACATACACAGTGGCCCAGGAGGATCCAGTTAAGCTTGTGTGGCCTGTTGGCCTCCTGGCTGCTGGTATCAAACCCAAACAAAGAACAAGGAAGGAATCGCTACATTGTGGAAAACCCTGTGACATATTTTCTCAGCTTCCAGGTACATTACTTCCCTATTTAGCATGTTAATGTGCTGAAACCCAGTATTGCCTCCATCTTTTTCCTACTTGCTTTTCCACGATTTCAAGATGTGTTTATGGTGTGTGTGTGTGTGTGTGTGTGTGTGTGTGTGTGTGTTTTGTAAGGGGGTGGGGAATTTCAGAATGAGGAGAGAAACAGATCACCAGGGAGTAGGAAAACCTGGATTTGGGCCTTGAACGTGACACTAAATTGCAGTGTGACCTCATGTAAGTCCCTTAGCCCCTAGCACTGCAGATCTCTGATCTCCAACATGAAAAGTGTGCTCCCCTCTGGGGTCTTCTGCGGCAAAGTTATTTCCATGGCATTCGGGCAGGAAGAGAGATTTGGATCTGGGAGATGAAATCGTTTACTCTACAGCCCAATTTTGTTCTCTTCTTTTCACCGGGGGGTTAGCTAAGAAACAGAAACATAATTTTCTCCCAGTCTCACGGGTAGTTGGTGACAAAGGCAGCAGACCGGCGTCTCCTGACACGAGGACTGGGCTGCACTACTGACGGGTTCTCTCACGCACAGCACAGCGAGCGTCACGGTTGCACGGGTGTCTGTGGGTGCACGTGCTTCTCACCACGCGTGCCACCCGAATAGCCATTTACTGACCTTCTGCTAAATTGGCTTACTTCCCTTACTCATATAAATTAATCTTATAAAAGACGACTGGTCTAGGTAGCGGAGGATCTTGCACTGCTATCCATACAAAGTATTTCATAAACAAAAACAAATATAGTGAAGGCAAAACAAGTCAGTCAACTCCAGCTAGATGCTGTTGCCCAGGGCAAGTGCCCAGTCAAGGCTTGATCTGGCAATATTTGAAAATAAAAAGATTAACAAGTGGCAGGGCGTGATGGAGACAGACTAGCGTTGTCCTCCTTGTGCAACCAGAGAAACGGAGTAAGCTGTGCGCAGGACTAACCTCCCCACCCGGGAGCCAGGGCTGCTCAGTGCAGTGTCTGGGCACGCCCCTCCCACTTGAGGAAGCGGGGACTCACTCGTGTGAGAGGGAAGGGGCACATCATGTAACGTGTAAAGGACTCAGGTGAGCAGCACTGTGATGGGAGCTAATTACCGAGTATGACGGGAACTCGAGGACGGGATTGTAACTCAGACAGGGGAGTGAGGGCATCAGGGAGGGCTTCCTGGAAAGAGTGATGTCTAAGCTGAGTCCCGAGAAAGAGCCCTACAATTCTAACTGCAGGCCGGGGGGTGTGGAGTTGACAGGGCATGTGTCAAGCAGAGGTCCAGAGGGTGGAGAGGGCCCGGCATTTCCTGAGAACAGCTGCAAGGTGAGCAGAGCTGGAGCCGAGTCTAGGAGGTAGGGCGGGGACGCGAGAGGGGAGGCCGGAGAGAAGAGCAGGAGACAGACCCCGAGGAGCTGGGTCTTCACCCTGAGGGGGAGGGGAGTCCCGGAACAGTTATAAGTGGGAGACAGAGTGGTCAGATTTGTGCTTTAGAAGGATGATTCTGGAAGCAGCTGGAGAAGGGGCTACAGAGCAGCAGGAGGGAATAGCTCGTTAGGACCTGGCTAGTGCAACCACAGGCTGCAGCCTTCACTTGAACCTCACCAGCGTCCCCACTGCAGCTCCCTGTGATCCCGGGTCCAGGGCCCCGCCCCGCACTTAGCTGTCACGTTTTCCTAGTCATCTCTGGTCTGTGATAGTTTCTCAGTCTTTGCTTGATGTTAATGACCTTGACCATGTTGACCTCGACCATGTTGACCTCCCTCCCTTTTGATGGTTGCACCCACTGAGATTTGTGCACACGGGGAAGAAAGAAAGGAGCAATTCGGGGGGTGGGCCCTGTGCTCACCCAGGTGGCAGTTCTGGGTGGGCAGTAGGTATGCCTGCGTCAGAATCTGTCTTAGTGTCTGTGCGACCGTCAGCAAATTAACTAAGTTCTTTGAGCCTATTGTTGCCAGAATGATATCAGATGTCACGTGTAAAAAGTACCGAGCACACGCAGTGCCTGGCACGTTGTGTAAGTGCCAGACGACCTGGTAGATTTGTTCACCTCTTTGCCTCATCGATGAGGAAACGCTGGAGCATGTCTCCCTATCTCCGAGGCCAGCCCTTCCCCCAGGGAAGAAAAAAGGCTGACTCAAGACACAAAACAAATGAGGCTATTTCTGAAGGGAGTTTTTATAATGGTTTATGTTCTAAAAATGCCTACTCTAACCCCGCCCATCAGTTTATTTACTTTAAAGTTCAGACTTAGAGCCTTTTTCAAACTCGACTTTACTCACCACTTAGCAGTTCAATCGCATTTTGTTTATTTCTTGGTGTAAGCCTTGAAGTTGGGTACAGCCCAACCTAGCACGGCAGCCAGGAAAAGTGTCCCTGTCCTCGGGGACCCTGGGTCTAGAAGCCAGCCTCTGCCTCGTCTCCATTGAGTGACCTGGTCAGGTTGCTGTAGCCCCTCAGGCCTGGATTTTAACTCTGCTTGGAGTTTCACTCGAGACCTCCCGCATGGGTGACTAGCCATGACCACTCAGTCCCTGGCAGCTGTCGTCAGGAAGCAGGATTAAACAGATTCTTAGTCAGCGAATCCTGTTCTGGGCCCCACATCTTAGGAGGGGGTGTGTGTTAGGGGCGCCGTTTTCTCTGGGTCTTTCCTCTCGGAGAGACCTCCTGGGTGGAACAGCCTGCGGCTCCAGTGTGTACCCCTCCGCTCCCCAGCGCGTCGGTTTTTTCAGACCTCGGGGGCGTTGCAGGATGGAGGCTGCTGGCAACCCTGGCCCTGAGAACACGCAGCTGGTGCGCATTCCTCCAAGGGGTGTTGTCTCCCCAGAGAAGCAGAGACAGGTGGCTGCGTAGGGGCTGGGGCGGCTCTGCCCAGCTGGGACGTGGGTCGGGGCCGAGGTGAGACCAGGATAACCTGTGTGTGGCTGCGCCTCAGTCATGGGGCTGCCCTGCTCGGTTTCCCAGGAGAGGCGGTGGGAGGCAGGTGGGAGGGAAGGACGCTGT